CAGGAGTGATTGTTAGTTCATGAAAAAGTATTTAGAAATAAAAGATGATGATTTTGTAAATAGTAGTCACGGAGATCTGATCACTGTTGTAAGGTCTTGATCACTGTTGTAAGGTCTTGCAGAGTTAAGTTATTCTAAAAAAATAAAGTGAAAGAAGAAAATTTAAGTATTCTTAACTTCCATCATTTACATATCGGTTTGCTGGGGATAGTATAATTTCATTGTTTCTCACATGTTATTTTTACAGTGAGATAACTTAAACATATATAATATATATGCTGAAGCAAGATTCAACTATAGCCAGAGTCTTGAAGTAATGATTACTCTGGGTCTAGGAATAGTTTTAAAATTCTTTACTATCTTGAGTATTTTTTGTTGTGCTATAATGTAAATCTATGAAAGTGAAAGAGTCAAATACTCATATGTTTAAGTGTACAAAGTGGCTATTCGGACCCGGGTTGGGATTAAAATAAAATAAAATAAAAAAATATTATTGTTATGTTGTAAGACAAAATTTGATATCAAATGAAAGATAATTGAATGGACTGTATGTCTGTAAACTTAATTCTTCAGTTTAACTAAAATAAACTACCACAAATGACATCCGAATAGCATTGAGTCTAAAGGGACCCGGGTCTGAATAGTGGCGATGCGTTTCCTGTTCCATTTTGACTAAATGCTATGCGGATGTCATTTCTGGTAGTTTATTTTAGTTTAACTTAAGAAGTAAATTTACAAACATATAGTCCATTCAATTATCTTTCATTTCATACCAAATTTCGTACTTCTCGGACCCGGGGCCGAATAGCCGCAGCCTTAAGTGTAACCTTAAATACTATACTATAAAATAAAAAAAATTGCAGTATTTAATAATGTATCCTATCCAGACATAGACTTAACCCCCTTTCCCTCTTGGCTGGACAAGCTTACCCTCTTTAGATAGTTTCAGTTTGACCAATGCTATAACCGAGTCCCAGTAGGTGTGAATGACTAGTACGCCATCTTCATTTGATGTAATTATGCTCATCAACATTTATAATTTACATCATGACACACACACTAAACCAAATGTACCTAATTCTATAAATAAGTAGATGTAAATAAAATGGCACCACTTGTGTCAACAAACTTTGGGTGAGACAGAAAACCCACGGCCAGTTATATTTACCAATAGTTCATGTTAGGGTTTATTCATGGTATTTGTTTAAATTTTTTGTCAAATTTTAATTTCCTTTTTTTTTCTTCTCCATCAGCCTTAGCGAGTGAGTAAAACAAGCTCACACTTTGCCTAGATTAAAGATAGATGGTGACTGTTACCCTTAGCGAGTGAGTAAAACAAGCTCACACTTTGCCTAGTTTAAAGATAGATGGTGACTGTTACCCTTAGTGAGTGAGTAAAACAAGCTCACACTTTGCCTAGTTTAAAGATAGATGGTGACTGTTACCCTTAGTGAGTGAGTAAAACAAGCTCACACTTTGCCTAGATTAAAGATAGATGGTGACTGTTACCCTTAGTGAGTGAGTAAAACAAGCTCACACTTTGCCTAGTTTAAAGATAGATGGTGACTGTTACCCTTAGTGAGTGAGTAAAACAAGCTCACACTTTGCCTAGTTTAAAGATAGATGGTGACTGTTACCCTTAGTGAGTGAGTAAAACAAGCTCACACTTTGCCTAGTTTAAAGATAGATGGTGACTGTCACCCTTAGTGAGTGTGTAAGACCAGCTCACACTATGTATAGTTTAAAGATAGATGGTGAATGTCAGGCTTATAATTTTCTAATTAAACTCATAATTTGCTATCTGCACCTGTACATAAAAGCGTTTTCGTATTGATGCTTTAGGAGGTTGTGACATCATCTTATTGTACCAGTAAAGTTAAATATTTGAACTGTTGTGTTCTAATAGTAGAGTCCTTTATACCTGAAGTATAAATAACAATATCAATTAGAATGTTTGATTCAGGTTGTAAAAAAAAAACGAAACACAAATTCAAATTGTTTATTTTAATACCGGTACCCTTAAGTCTTTTTAAGAAACTAACATAAATACAACTGCAGTTTGAACACAAAAAAACGAATCTGACACCAAAGCCTTAAATTTAAATGAGAAACTTTATGAACAGCCTTAAGAAATGCGTTTTTAAAATCTTGAAGATAATCCATAATAAATACAACATTAAATAGAGAATTTTCTTAAACTTCATATAGTTAAATCAAGTTAAGTTGGCTTTTGATTCCTTGCTCAAGTGTTCTTTGTGAAATAGAGTGGTCTTGGAACCGTGCTGTTTTAAGAAGATATTAAACAAAATAATATATTATGTTTAATGCAGTCCAGAAGGTGAATAACTATAATTTTCATGACCTTCTAAAATTAAATTAACTGTTATAAATTATATTTATTTTAAATAAGTTTAAAAATGTTCAATAACCTGTTTCATCATGAAATGGGTTAGATATATTTATAAGCTATTTCTCTCTTCTGACTGTACACTTTACCAAGACATTATTTTAATTGAATTTTAAAAACAAGATGTAAAAATTAAGAAGGAAGAGCCAACTAAAAGAATCTGATTTTACCAAATTATTTGTTGTGCGGAGAAAGGGTGGCTAGAAAATATGCATGAGCCTTGTTCCTTATGTTAGGCTAAATATAAGACTAATTATTTCAATTTAAAAAATTGATTAATTAGTATTAATATTCAATTAGCACTGTTATTAAATGTTGGAAGAAGAAATAACATGCAGACCTGTTTACTCTCAAACTCTTATAATCGTACAATATCATCACATAATTGTTCAGTACCTTATATTTATAGTAAAAAATAAACATACAGTATAAATAATGTTTATACCTCAAAATCGTACATTGTACGCCAAAATCGTAAGAGTAAACAGGTATGAACATGTATTTCGTATGAAAGTTATATGACTTTGAAATGGTTTAAACTTTAAATGCATAAATAGGTATGAGACTCACAGTGGAGTTCTTGCATCTCCTGGACATTCATTATCAGATGGCGTATAGCGCAGGCCTCCCACAGTGCCTAAACAAGACAATAATTATATGTAAATTTAACATTAGCACCAGAAACAATCTAACCCATCCTGCTGGAAGATTTTGTTACAACAAGAACATAAAGCTCAACACTTGTATTCATCTGAATACCTTTTACATATGTTCATATCATAACAATGAATATAGGATTTAATGTGTTGTATCATATCATTAGTTAATGACAGGCACTCTTCAACAACTCTAATATCTTTTCAGTTATTATTTCAATGAATATAGGATTTAATGTTGTATCATATCATTAGTTAATGACAGGCACTCTTGAACAACTTTAATATCTTTTCAGTTATTATTTCAATGAATATAGGATTTAATGTGTTGTATCATATCATTAGTTAATGACAGGCACTCTTGAACAACTTTAATATCTTTTCAGTTATTATTTCAATGAATATAGGATTTAATGTTGTATCATATCATTAGTTAATGACAGGCACTCTTGAACAACTTTAATATCTTTTCAGTTATTATTTCAATGAATATAGGATTTAATGTTGTATCATATCATTAGTTAATGACAGGCACTCTTGATGTTGTATCATATCATTAGTTAATGACAGGCACTCTTGAACAACTTTAATATCTTTTCAGTTATTATTTCAATGAATATAGGATTTAATGTTGTATCATATCATTAGTTAATGACAGGCACTCTTGAACAACTTTAATATCTTTTCAGTTATTATTTCAGTCTGTCACTAATTTGTAATGTAGTTCCCTTTTCAAACTAAAATTCAAGACAAATATGAAATAATGATTAAATACAACTATAATAAAAGAAAGGAGAGAGCTTATCCTGTTGCAATAATTGAGTTGCCAATAAGATGTCAGATTATACAGTGTTTATGAAACAGGAGAAGACAGAATTCTTTCATCTTCTTTTTTACATTGGTTTTCAGCCATCAATAGATAGGTCAAAGCTAAAAGCATGGGATTTACATGCTGTCTACAAGACAGTTGTCTTTACATACACATTGCAAGTACTGGTACTTTTCTTGTTCCCAAACTTCACTCACCAAGATGTCCATTAGATGGTGGTGTCCTCACAAGCAGTCTTCCAGTCTGGTTCATGATACCAGATGCTGCACCGTACTGAAAAAATAGATGTTTAATCACATGACCTTGTGGGTTAATGGTCAATTTAGTAGTTTGTAAATGATATAGAACATGATTTCTATGATTTTAATTTTGATCAATGAACTCTGTACACATAATCACATTGGCTGAGTTAGCTCTTTAAAACTCATATCGTCACAAGGTTTCAATGCAATTATCATTCAAGAATAAGAGGGACTCATGTACGGTAGTTAAACAAAAAAATACCCCATGTGCCTTGACAGACTTCAAATTCAATACAAAGGAACAGGCATAAGCTCATTCTTTTTCTCTTGCACTTGTAGTGAATATGTTTCCATAACTACAGTAGAAAAAAGTAATTATAATATACTTACTTTGACAGACGCATTACTCATGCAGTTGCTGAAATGTAAAAAATGTATACATGTCCTTAAAAGTTTACTAAAATACCCGGTATTTATATAACAAATAATAAAATTTAATATATTACAATGAAAATAAAGAAAAAATGAGCTGATAAGTTATTTGACATTAAAAGTAAATATTTTTATAAGCATAAACTTATTCAATAATTTTTAAATGTCAGAATGCTAATTAACTTACAGACTGTTTCCATATGGTGAGCCTATTAGTAATGAAATATAAATATAAAAAAATTAGAACCACTGACTTCAGAAAAATTTTGTCATCATAATTTTCAGATACCGGTACAAAAGATGAATTAAAGTAGAAGAAATAGTAAAGGTTTTAAAGGTGAATTATACATAAAAATATTATGGAGACAGAAATTAATAAAGGCTACAAGACTTCCATTTTTTATTTGATTTTGTAAAAAAATTAATAGAAACATTTACCAGAGAATTGGGCAGGAGATGTTCCATTTCTGAAGAAAAAATATGAAAATAACCTATAGGACTACCAGGCAATAAGAACTGACTTCAATTGATATAAAGTATGTACTATATTTACTGAACCATTTAATTAAGACAACATTGTCTATTTTATATTGAAGAAATCATTGCAGTAAAATATTAAGGGATATTGATGTTATGGAATGTTAAAAGAAGATTCAAAAAAATTTATTTGCGATAGTATTTTGCATATGATTTGCAAAAACAATACTTTTATTTTAAATACAGCAATGCCTCATGCAGTCGGGCTTTTTAGTGTTCTGCTTGAGATTAATCAGATTGATAAAAACACATCTTTTTAGCCAGATGTATTTAAAAATATGATATTTGTTAAATAAATAACCATAAAGAATCACAAACATTTTTAAAAATTCTTTAAGATCCAGTTTGGAAATGGCAAATAGAAAAAAAGTAATCAATGATAAAGAAGAAAACAAACTGTAATCAGTTTCAATTTCAGCCATGAGTACTTAACCTTATATGAGAATCCTGCAAGAGATAGACATATAATAATAGGAGGGTGCTGCCAATGTAGTATTATTTTATAGTAAAGCAAAACAAATACCATAACACATATTGTTGTAAAAATATTTTTACTAGGACTGTAAGAGGCAGCTGATGAAAGGACACTGCATACTAAGAAGAATATGTAATATTTAATTATATGATCACTTCTTTTATTTAAAAAAATTAAATTGACTGCTGAATTCCTTAGAGTGAAAGTACAATTTTTTCTTCATATTTATTTGATCTATAATATTCCCAAAAAGACCTGTTTTGTTATTATAAAAAAACTGTATGCAGGATTGTTATGGCATGTGTGTTGGCCTAAATTTAACATAGTGGCCAACACCTCTTGTCTTCCCTTTGTTATGTCATTGACATCACCGATTAAATATGCTGTGCCACTCCTTTTACCCATGACTCCCTTGATAAGGAAAAGGTTGTTTATGGTCGAAAGTGTTCTATTTGTTCTAAAGAATGTTATTAGGTGACGGATTTCCTAGAATTTTATTTCTAGATGTTTCTGATTAACTCCTTATATTTTTACGCCAGCAGGAGCTATTTTTGCTTTATTTCCTTGCCTCCAGCGAGTGATTGACGGCATTCCAGCAGAAGTCCTCAAAAAAGGAAAAACCTATTCCTAGACATATACGAGATTTTATATAACTGCAATTTTGTACACTTTATGTGTGTATGTAAATTAATATTTATATTTTTCGAGGATTGCACCTTTTGAATTGCAGAGCTGTGAGTTGATAAAGTAATTTTGTTTCTATATATTTGAATTTGTATTTTTTTAGAAAATTAGGAGTGTCAGAACAATTAAATTTAATATTGTTAGTATAACTAGCTTTGGTACCCTTTTCTTTGTATACTGATTTTTATGCCGTTCATGATTCAAGCCAAATCTTTAAAAATTTTCAAACCCACATAGCAGCACGTAACAAGGGGACAAAAATAACATTTAAAAAAAATTCTTACCTTTTTTTTCAGCATCATTCTCAAATATTCATTTTCTGCTTTTGTTGTCTTTAACTCTCTGATTAACAACAAAATAGAGGGAAATAAAGTTTTAAAAAGGTATAAAACACATAACCGACTTCCTTTCACAGAACCATTCCCTTTTGCTATAATTTTATTTTGTAAATAGAGCTGGAAGTGTAATCAATCAGAATACCTAGGGTGCACAGCCAAGCTGAACTGGACATGTTCTTAGGCTGAGCTGTTAATTTAAATTACAAAAAAAACAAAAAAACAAAGCATGAAAACAATAACTGAAATGCATATTTAAAAAATTAACAAACCCCATTTATTTGACAAGTTGAGATGCACATGAAAACAAAGTATTCTTTTCAACAACAAAAAATATTTTAATTAAGTATTGAATTATTTTTTAGCGTGCATAATTTTTAAAATTCTATTCTTTAAAAACATATCTAATTTATAATTATTTCATCACCCTTTCATTGCATTGGCTTGCTCGATAAATTGGCTAAATTGCTGTCCAAAAAGTTTCATCTGCAGAGAATAAAAAATTAATGTAAAGAAAAAAAAATAATTATGTAGACAGGTTATGAAGAAACTAATCCTGTACCTCATCTAAGGGTCACCCATCCAAGGAAATGGCTAATGGGGTCAAGTAAATGGCTAATGGGGTCAATGGAATGAGTTTAGGGAGCTCAAAGCAATTTACAGTACAGGGTTCTGCAGCCAATGTGCTGTGATATGCTCTGAAAACACGGGGAAAGCATTAAACCAGAAAGCAATAGTAAGTGCTATTTTGAATGTGGTAGACATCAAATTCTCTGTCTGTACAGGCTTACCTCAAAATGAGCATGCAGATGCTTGGGAAATAAACGGGATCACCCAGATACTCCTGACATGTAAAGAATTGCCAAGGTTGCCAAGGCAAAGATTAAAAGCAATTTTTAAAAAATATGATTGGGTGAGTGGGCCTACAGCATGGCCGCTAGAAAGCTTTAAAAAAAAATGTCATGATAAAGCTGAAGCAAGAATTGATAAAAACTCAGTTACTGGCAACAGCGTAGTGTCTGGTAATACTGATGTAAACTGAATATTTTCCAGCCAGTTACTGCCATGGCTTATATCAACATGCAGACTCAACCTGCTGCCATTGATTCCAGACTAGTTACTGCCATGGCTTATATCAACATGCAGACTCAACCTGCTGCCATTGATTCCAGACTAGTTACTGCCATGGCTTATATCAACATGCAGACTCAACCTGCTGCCACTGATTTCAGACTAGTTACTGCCATGGCTTATATCAACATGCAGACTCAACCTGCTGCCACTGATTCCAATTCCAAGCACTCGAGAAAATTACCCACCTCCTGACATAGTGTTTCAACTGAAAAAATTGGGTATACCAGAAAACTCACAACAGTTTGACCAGTTGACTGAAACCATAAATATGGTATATGGGAATTTGCTAGTGCACCATACTTTTGGGCTCCTTAATTATGTTTGATGACTATAAATATTTGCAAATTTTTATATCTACGCGCAAAACACCTACACCTGGCAGGCAACACTCAATCAAATTTTTAAAAAATATTTAAAAAACAATAACAACTGTTATTGAATTTGTTTTTATATTTAAAAAGCAATAACAAAAAAATGAATAACTGCTAGCATTTTATGGTAATATTTAATAGAGTCCTATCAAATTGATTACATAACTAAGGTGAGGTGGTAAACTTGCCCACCAGTCTGCCAAACTTAAAAGTTTGGGAATCACTGATTTACAACACTTCCCAGCTTATGAGACAAGCTGCTGATGAGACAAGCTGCTGATGAAACAAGCTGCAGACGAGACAAGCTGCTGATGTATTGACAGGGGCTATACTATAAAGAGCGATTAGCTCTGCCTCCAAAGAATATGAAGAAGTGCAAAAAAAGTGTAGACCAGGGATCACAAATCTTTTTTGAACGAGCAAAAGCTTGATCACATGAAAGCCACTTAAAAAAAGGGACTATCTGCTTCCCTTTTTTGATTCTGAACATAAAAAAATCATTGAAATGCAGATCAATTGCTTCCATTTGGGTTTTGGAAGATCATTTTATATTGCTGCACTGACAATGGCATACATGTTAGGAAAACAGTGCTGGAAAGACCGTCTCAAGTCAACGAGAACTTGTACAAAATTGCTTGGGATTTGGTCTGTTTCTTTTTCACAGCATGGAAATGGAGTGGAGCAATTCCATCAGCAGCAATTCATAAAAATGTGTTCTTTGAAATGCCTTTATATTGGACAAAAGGCAAGGATTTTCCTTTGAATCTGAGATTCAATAAGGTGAAGAGATCTGTTGAATCTGAGATTCAATAAGGTGAAGAGATCTGTTGAATCTGAGATTCAATAAGGTGAAGAGATCTGTTGAATCTGAGATTCAATAAGGTGAAGAGATCTGTTGAATCTGAGATTCAATAAGGTGAAGAGATCTGTTGAATCTGAGATTCAATAAGGTGAAGAGATCTGTTGAATCTGAGATTCAATAAGGTGAAGAGATCTGTTGAATCTGAGATTCAATAAGGTGAAGAGATCTGTTGAATCTGAGATTCAATAAGGTGAAGAGATCTGTTGAATCTGAGATTCAATAAGGTGAAGAGATCTGTTGAATCTGTAGAAAGTGATAATTTCTAAAACCACTAGCTTTGTTTTTATGTTGTTCTTGGTCGTTGGCATGAGAAGATGACCAAACTTATATTCAATGGTCAGTATGCAGATGGCTTGGTCGTTGGCATGAGAAGATGACCAAACTTATATTCAATGATGAGTATGCAGATGGCTTGGTCGTTGGCATGAGAAGATGACCAAACTTATATTCAATGGTCAGTATGCAGATGGCTTGGTCGTTGGCATGAGAAGATGACCAAACTTATATTCAATGGTCAGTATGCAGATGGCTTGGTCGTTGGCATGAGAAGATGACCAAACTTATATTCAATGGTGAGTATGCAGATGGCTTGGTCGTTGGCATGAGAAGATGACCAAACTTATATTCAATGGTGAGTATGCAGATGGCTTGGTCGTTGGCATGAGAAGATGACCAAACTTATATTCAATGGTGAGTATGCAGATGGCTTGGTCGTTGGCATGAGAAGATGACCAAACTTATATTCAATGGTGAGTATGCAGATGGCTTGGTCGTTGGCATGAGAAGATGACCAAACTTATATTCAATGGTGAGTATGCAGATGGCTTGGTCGTTGGCATGAGAAGATGACCAAACTTATATTCAATGGTGAGTATGCAGATGGCTTGGTCGTTGGCATGAGAAGATGACCAAACTTATATTCAATGGTGAGTATGCAGATGGCTTGGTCGTTGGCATGAGAAGATGACCAAACTTATATTCAATGGTGAGTATGCAGATGGCTTGGTCGTTGGCATGAGAAGATGACCAAACTTATATTCAATGGTGAGTATGCAGATGGCTTGGTCGTTGGCATGAGAAGATGACCAAACTTATATTCAATGGTGAGTATGCAGATGGCTTGGTCGTTGGCATGAGAAGATGACCAAACTTATATTCAATGGTGAGTATGCAGATGGCTTGGTCGTTGGCATGAGAAGATGACCAAACTTATATTCAATGGTGAGTATGCAGATGGCTTGGTCGTTGGCATGAGAAGATGACCAAACTTATATTCAATGGTGAGTATGCAGATGGCTTGGTCGTTGGCATGAGAAGATGACCAAACTTATATTCAATGGTGAGTATGCAGATGGCTTGGTCGTTGGCATGAGAAGATGACCAAACTTATATTCAATGGTGAGTATGCAGATGGCTTGGTCGTTGGCATGAGAAGATGACCAAACTTATATTCAATGGTGAGTATGCAGATGGCTTGGTGGACTTGATTTGTGCCTGGAAAGTTTGTTCACATATACGGCACATGTTTTTTGATATCGTAGTGGGATTGGAGGCAATTTTACACTACATTACTGTGCACTTTCTTTAGGCTTAAGTTTACTCTCTGAAGAGTGTACTCCAACAGTGAGTCAGTCTCGCTTGTTTGTGTGATCCAAAGCAAATGTTTCCCATGAGTTCAGGTCAATGTTCACTAATTTACTTTTAGACAATCTTAGAAACATTTTCCAGCGAATGAGCTGAAGGTTTCCACCTGAAAAGTTCAGTATACTGGTACATTAGTTCTTTAGGCAGTCTGCTATGTGGCATTCTTGCACCATGACCTTGCCATCTGGCTTGTCCTTTTTGTGAGGAAGTGTGGATGTTGATAAGGCTGGCTTGTTGTAGGACTCTGCAGCATGGCCTTTGACCTGCTACCGTATGCCAAGAAGCTTGAGTAAACAGCGTTGGTGGAGATGGTTTAGTTTTTTAGCATGTCTGCTGTATAAGCACATGTCTCACTGGCATATAGGAGAGTTTTTCAGATACATTTAGCTTGGTGATAATATTAAAACACCATTAGCTCCCAGACTCTCCTACTATTTGTAAGTGACAATTGAGGGAAGTGCATTTCAACTAAGAAAATCTCAATCTCAGCTCTCATCTGAACAATTTCTAACAAAATCTTCACACAATTGAGATGTCTGACATAAGTTTGGTAAAGTAACTCATTATAATCTGCTTTAGTTTCTGTAAAAAATTTGCGGAATCAGCTATGATTGAAGTGATGGGAGCAAAATGAAGTTCACTGTTAAAACACATAGATCCATTGAAAACACATAGGTTCATGGACACAAGAGAAAAACAGATGTTAGTAATTATTATCCCCCCCACAATGCATGTTGATGAATAATGCAATGAAGAACCATAGGCTTTGAACAGCCAACACGGGGGAGGGCTTCGGTCCTGTCTTATCACAAACTGTATTGACTTAGCAGTGGTCAGTAAAGGACCGCTCCTCTCTATGATTTATATGGTGGGTATCTAGGCGTTGGGACAGACAAAAGCACAACGTAGACTTGAACGAAATCCAACAACTCAAACTCCAGGTGTCCAACGATAATGAAAGTGTGTTTATTTCTAAGATATAAGTTCTTCTAGTCATCTGTTGTCTCCTGATCTCTAGCAACTATTCCCTAACAACTGCTCAATGTTATCGTAGCTCTTTTCTCTCTCGTCCTCAACTACATCGTAACTCTGTTCCCTCTTCCTCAACTAACGTCGTAACTCTTCTCTATCTTCCTCAACTCACCCCCTATCTTGAAAAGTTCTGTCTTATATGCGACTCTCTAACTCCATAGGTGGCCCAGGAATTTCCCGTCGTTAACCCAAAAATTATCATGCGAAGTCAGGAAGGCCCGAAAACAATATTATCGAAAGAAACAATCCCCTCTATCTCAAGACGTGAGAGTCTATTAACCTTAACTTTACCCCCTACTCTAACAATGCCTTCCTTAAAATAACAGCAGTTCCCATCCATCCTATACGTTACCTCAACAATGGAGCTCTGTCCTGTACCCCGCCCCAGTCATTTGTGACACGGACCCCTGGTGTACACAAAGAAAGTGTTATGATAATAAAGTTGGTGATAATTATTATTATAAATGATGCTTACTTTTTCCTTCAGTTGTCTCACAAGTCTTCTTTGGTGGCTTTTTTGAAATTCTAAAGTCTAAAAACAACATGAAATTTAAAAAAAATTATTTCTTAAAACAGGATAAACAGCAAATGTTATTTTTATATATTATGACGATTGCAAATATAAAATGTTTACACATTATTTAATTGTTATTTGTAATTGATGGCATGTAAAATATTATAAAACACAGTGTCGAATATGGGTTATCACTAATAATTGCAGCGCACCAAATATTATGATTTAGTTTCATTGTGCGCAGAGAATCTTGTGTAGTAGTTTCAATAATGAATGCTATTCCCGCATTTTGGGCTTGTGATGTATTTTAATTTTATGGTAATTGTGATATTGTGCTGGGTGGCCGAGTGGTCTAAACTGAGCAAATCTCAAGTTAGTGGTATGGAGTTCAATTCCAGCCAGAGCCCAGTCAAGCAAAAATATCACCTGCACCCCGGGTGCGACTCGTTAACCTTGGATGGTAACCATCTAAGAGAAGGAAACTCTGAAATCAAACCCGGAGATGGAGTCCTGAATGGCGGATAACATTGGTACAATGAAACATTCTGACAACTCCTGCGACGTCACTGGTGCCAAGCTGTATCATCCAATGATGTTCCCTTGGGTTATCCAGCAAATGTTATAAGAGAGGCGGTGTGGAGAGAGGCAATTTGCTGTTGGGAACCAGCTTGAAAAAATCCTTGAAGAATAATCCCAGGCCATGTGGGGTTCGGCGTCGGACGGAAGCAAATTGTGATATTGTGCCTATAGTCTGTCTATGGCCTAGCTGCATTTTCATTGAGCGTTGATGAGAGAACTTTGTGGTGAAAGTTTGTGCATTATTATCCTACTGATAGTAGTGAGCTGCGTTATAAATATATGTATATTTGATTCATTGTAGTACAGCCTGATAGATATGCTTTTCATTAAAGTAGCACATTTTAAATAGCAATAAAATAATATATAAATAATATATATAAAATATAATATATGATTTAGTGTCAGATAAATTAGGTAAATTATGGCAATAAAATTCCAGTAAAGAAAATTTTAATTTATACCTGATGAAACTGCTTGTTAAATTTCTGATGCATATCAATGGGATCAGAAAACAAGTTTTCTACTTCTTTGGGAAGCTGCAACATGAACATAAAATTGACTTCACTCAGTTTATTTTACTATTAGAATTGATAGGTCCCGAATTTAGCAACCTAACTAAAAAAAAGAGAATTTAATACCACAAGAAATAAATATTTAACTAAATTCTGTAAATTTGGAGAGATAGTACCGCGGCCACCATCTTGGTTGCGGTGACCCGCGAATTTATTTCCTAAACCTAACCTGAACTCTAAACTTATCTCTAGCCTGGGTTTTGACCCTATCAGAACTAGGCTAACTAGGGACAAGACATGCACATGACGTCAGGGTAATATCTCTCCAAATTATCCCTAAATTCTACCAAAAGTAATTTAATTTATTTACAACCTGTTTTCCCCAAAAGATAACAGGATAAATCAAGTAAAAATTATTACTTAAACTAGTATTACTATGAAAGTAGCACTCAAAACTGTTTGCTTTATTGCTACGATACCTTTCCACCAAGCATCAATGTTGTACATTGGGATCTGCAAACTTTGCATCTCTCTTTAGCACCTGATACAAAAAAAAAAGATTATCAGGCAGCCACTTAATAATTATCATTTTACTTCTAAGGCTTTCTATTAAGATAATAGTCAGGCTGTTGCCTAAGGAGCCTAATGACCGTAATGACAACAGAGCTAACAATACGCCTTTTTCTATTATTTTATTTTAAGTATAAATTTTAATAAAATATTTTTTTTAAAAAGATGACCCTTTAATTAAACCAGTGGTTCTCAACCTTCCTAATGCTGCGACCCTTTAGTAAGGATCCTCATGTTGTGGTGACCCCACCCATAAAATTATTTTCATTGCTACTTTATAATTGTAGAATATATGTGTTTTACGATGGTCTTAGGCGAATCCTGTGAAAGGGTCGTTCGACCCACAAGGGGGTCATGACCCACAGGTTGAGAACCGCTGCTTTAAACAATTAAATATGGCTATGCCATTATAGCATATGCCATGGCTATGCCATTATAGCAAATCAAAGTTGTCTTTTTCATTTAGATTCTCTTTTTAATTTTCAATTTTACAATTGATAAACAGACTAAAATAAAGTGTTTTTAATTGTAATATCTGTATTGGTACAGGAAAGCCTTTTTTCTTTATTATATTAATCATAATTCCTTCATGATATGATGCAAATTTAATAAACATACTAAGAACTTAAAAATGTTAAATACCACTAATAAATTTATAAGTTATAAGAAACCACCAGAGTTCACTTTATTTTATATAGTAACTTAAAAAATCTAGCTGTCAACTGCATGTTAAGTAAATCATCATGCATTAACTTTTAATAATTTATTTAAAAAGTTAATAACCAACAAGGCGTTAGGGACTCTTAGCTAAATTAATTTGTAGCTTACAAGAAGCAACACATTTTTCACAGTAAAGGTGACTACAGTTGGTCAAGTAAAATTTCAGATCAACACCAGGTTGTGGTTGACAGTAACATCCATTACAGTGCATCCAGTGGGCCATGCTTTCAGCACTAACTGTCTGATTATGATGAACACTTACACTATTACTCTGCGAATAAGTAGTAGTTAAAACAACCTGGAGAAAAGAAAAGAATGTGCCATTCATCTCAGACATAATCAATTGAAAAATAAAGCTATACACCAAGTACATCATCCACGGAAATAGTTGTCTAAAATTTCTTGAATAACTGTAGGTCTACACTGTCATTGATAAAAATAAAGAGATATAGATCAGCATTACTTGATTACATTACTGTCATTACTCAATACTTATTACAATTGTTGTTTTATAACCTCATAATCATATATAGGCCTAATATATCAAAATAACAGCATTAATCAATTAATTAATGGTAGTTTCTAGAATTTCAAATTTCATTGTCATTACTCATTATTAGTCTAATTATAATAAATTAGTCAAAATCAAAGTTTTTTTTAATGATTATGGCTATGGGCGGGGGGGGGGGGGGGGGGGGGGGGGGGGGGGGGAGGGTGGTAATCATTATAATATTTATATGTGTACATGTTGTAGTAAGCAGCCGCCTAGGTTAGAACAAAACCCCAACAAAAAACGTAGTGATTAACATTACTAATAATGGTAATAGTATAATAGTAAGTAATAGTCATGGCCTCTAGTTTAAAAAATAAATACCGGTAAATAAAAATAACATTTTCTCTGATTCTGATTTGTGGCACTCTAACTAATTTTTCCAAACAAAAACATTTCTAAAAATAAAATAGCCCCCACCCTTTTCCAGAAAAAACCCCCAACAAATTACCATTGCAGTTATTGCATAAAACTAATCATTCAGATCTAATTAGTATAATAAATTGATATTAAAAGAACTGAAATCTCAACATCAAATATAATTATCGGCTATTATCATTTAGATCAACTGGGGCTTCTTATTCTCGTCTGCTATCATTGGAAAAGAATCATGAGTGACCGTTTTGTAATCGGATAACTTTTTTTTAAACTTTAGGTCATTTAGGTTGCCTACTTTAATTAATATTTATGCAGCTGATGTACCTTAAATAATGTTAAGAATGGAATTATGTTCATTTATGAACACAACGTCTTGTAAACAATAGCAATTTTTGATTTGTTAGACATAAACTCTAAAAAGGTTGTATTTATAAAAATTCTAATCGATTATATTATTTAAATTAGACAAATTAAAAAGAATGATTTGAATAGATTAGCCTAGATTGCCCAAAGATCATTGTTCCCCAAATTGTGGTTCCCAGACCGAATGACAGGCCGCAGGGCCGCAACATAAGTTTGGTCATGTAAAAAGAAATATGATGAATAAATCTAGCACCTTTCCCTGTTACAATTTAATTCCCTTCTTCTAGGGACTTGTGCCGATTATAATTATTTTCTTTCATTTTCAGGCATATGCATAGGGGCAGGGGGGAGATAGGATATTAAAAAAAAATACATATTGAATATTTTTGTGATGTAACTTTAATTTTTAATTATACTCATGTTAATTTATTTTTCTTACTGATATTTTAAAGTCATTTGTCGAACATTTGAATTTTTATTTTGTCTAATGTAAGGCAAGCATAATTAAAGCTTAACACAGATAATGTTTTATTTACACAGACACAATTTCTTTGGTCTCATCAAACTACTTAAATTTTAAGTTAAAATGAACTTTATCGCAGTCCAACCTTTTTATTTTTATTATTTGTGAGCTAGGCCACTCAATAATAGACCTCAAAATAAATATTATCTACACAAAAACAAAAGAAAAAACAATTTTTAAAATAAAAATACAAGCTTTAAACAATTGAATTTAGTAATTTATCATTAAAATGTGTACTTTGATAATAATTGGAAATAAAATGTATTTATTAATATTTGTTTTATATGTTACAAATTACAATTATGTATTTTAATGTTGACGGTTTCTTCGCAACAACGCAAGGAAACAAGATGGAGGGGTCGGACAATGGTAGTGTCCGCTCTGAAAGCGCTGGAGAGCCCTTTCAGGACGTATCAACCGAAACTCTACAGCAGCAAGTGATAGAGACCAAGTAATAAACCCTTTTATTTTATTAATTGGAGAGATTTAAGTAGTAATGATTGCTAAAATTACTTACATAATTGTATTTGTAATAAATCACACCAACTGTCAAAAGTGACTAACACTGGCGTCACTGGGGCACACACTTTACACAGTAAATTATTGAGTAATCTCAATTTTTTTGTATTTAGTATGTTTTCCTAAATTGATGTTAACTGTTAAGTATATACAATAAACCTAGTATCCACCTAAATTCTTTCACCCAGACCTAAGCAAGGCAACAATTTCAATTACAAAAATTAAAATACTAGTTACTAGTAGACCAATCTATTCCAAAAGACCAAAGAGGTCCTAGGCCTATATTTGAGAATGTCATGTGGCACTGTTCTCACTCTCACCGTTATGTTTATAAGATCCTTTAAAAATTAAAGGGTAATTGCAAATTGAGATCAGATTTCAGTTGTTTAATCGAAATCACAATTAAGAATTCTGCCAAATTACATGGCTGTACTCTATCATAACTTGGAGATGAGTTTTTGAAGAAGTTTTGAAAAAAAAATGCTTAAAAAAATTATACCTAAAGTTTTTTAAAGGTAAAGATATTAACTTACATATTTTTTTTTATTGATCTATTTAGTAGAAAAATGGATGAGATTTGTTTAAAAGTATGAGTGTGGACTTGGAATGACGAACAAAACCACAAAATTAAACTGTTATGTTTTCAATGTTTTTGTTTCAAACAAGTAACTTAAACATATATATATATACATAAATACAAGTTCTCAATCAGGTATTGACTTTCTGCTTGTGTCCGGAACACGGTTCATAAACACATACTCTCCTACAGTCAGTGTCTCTGCGTATGCGCGCTGCTTCACCTGGCTGGCTATCGGTACGGTCTAGTCCACTAGTCCACCATAACAAAAATGGATGAGATTTGTTTAAAAGTGTGGAGTGTGGACTTGGAATGACGAACAAAACCACAAAATTAAACTTTATAAATTACCTATTAAGTCTTAAGCTGAATTAAGTTATAATTATTATGGTAAATAATGATTGTTTTCACTGTTATGAATTTAATGAACATGTTAACTATTGTTGACATATTTATTTTCATACCTTCCTAGAATATATATGATATATGCTAACATATAAAATCCGCACATCTACTTTTTTAAAATTAAAAATTCCATTTAAAAATTATATTATTGCTAGTTATACGACATTCTTAATTAACAAAATAAAAAATATATTCACTATGTTACTGTTACGTGGCATCATAAATTGTGAATTACAAATTGTATCTAAAAAATACCATAAATTTTTGTATTTTCTTAAGTTCATACATTAAATATACACTGAATTTTAGTATTTAATTTGTCCTGTCCAGTTGATCTCATTCTTGATGTTCCACTCCTTACATTTCTTTTCTTTGCACCACTGAACATACAAAATCATTACAAGACTCATAAAAATATCATTACTTTTAATTCTCTAGGTATGATAGAAATTATTGTATATTCAATAGCTCGCATAATAAAACACCCAATAACGGTGCTAATTGAGATCCTTAAGTATTTTTCAAGTGCGTTTGGTGCCTAATTTTTTTTTTACATTACATTAATTGTCTCAGTTTAAATATGGTGTAATGAATCTGCCATGTAAAAGGGTGTTGGTCATTAGAATATTAAAAAAGTGTATACCCTGGGGGTGTATCAATATTTTGGATTTTTATAAAGTTCATTACTTGAGTGCATGTTTTTTCAATGGCCTATAGCAGATGGAGAGTTCAAGCATTGCAGCCACCATTGTTTGGCAGGCTGTAACTAGTAATATTATAAAAAAATATAAATTTTCTTTTTCCAAACAGTCATGCTATTGAAACATTGCAAGCTGAAACTCTTATGTTCGAGAAGTATCTTGAACGATCAGAACCACCAGATAGCCCATTATTATCAAGTTACCATGGCAAGCAGATGAGAACCGAACATAATTTAGCACAACGTGTGCGTGCCAAGACTCGCTCAAGTGCTGTAGATAAATCCTTAAAATTAACACCAGAACAAAAATGTGATATTGCCCAAAGAGAAATTGAAGAGCTGCGCGATGACATTAATAGGCTGAGAGATGATTCAGAAAAAGTGTTGGACACCCTTAAGGTATGGATATTACTTATTTACAATATTTATTTGAATCGGCAACTCAATGAATAGATTACACAAACAAGTGATGTTTGTAAGACTATGTGTTGTTGCTGATTATACCTACTGCTGCTTGTAAGACTTCTCTACTGCTGTTTTTAAGACTACCTGGTTATGTTTGTTATTTTCTTTACAATTAATATAATCATCTTTAATTTTTTTAATTCAGAACCTTCATAATCATTTTATGGTAAGATGAACTTAAAGAATGAAATAACTCAAATTATTATTTTTTAGGCTATCATGGAAGAAGCTGATATAAGATTGTCTGAGGTGAAAAAAGAATCCTATGAATTTGAAAGAGATATTGTTAAAGGTTCTGTGAATCACCGCACAAATAAAGTGATAGCTGAAAAATGCATGAGATATTTTGAGGACAAACTTAGGACCCGGGTATGTAAACAACTTTAATAAGGGATAAAGTCAAAAACATGTTTTCATGTGACCTTTGCCTTGTTTTGAAATTAAATTATTAAAATAATAAAGTCCTATTTATTTGACTTGGGCATACTAGCTGTGTCAAGAAAATAATATATATGTTTTGTCAAAAACATAAAAAATATGATTTATACATATTTGTAAGTTTGTGCTTTATGTTCTATCCCCAAAAATCTAATTTAACTTAATTTCCTATCGCTGGCAACAAAAATTCATCTTAATGAACAAGAATGTAAAAAAATTATAATGAAAAGGTGATACTCCCCAGCTATGGATCAAACCAAGAATTGCTTATTTTGCTTGTTTTGAGATATTGGAGGTCCACAAAATTGTCTTCTGTAGAAAAGTCTGGAAAGTTATTTAACAGTGGTATTTTTTTAATTCTATGTTTGAAAATGTTTGATAAAAACATGGAAATATACCGGGGAGTCAAAGAGTTAAATTAGCTTAAAAAACTTACTATGTAGATGGTATTCCATGATGTCATCTAATTGAATTTTTTATAAATTACAAAATTATTTATAATCAATTAAAAAAAAAATATGCAGTTAGCCATAATGTCGAGGCAGTCAAATTTTAAAAACATGCTTGAAAAAACTGTGCTATTTGACTAAACTCAGACGTAAACACTAAAAAAATATTAAAATATAACTTGTAAAGAATACAGACTTTATATAAAATATACTATTTATTGCCTTTTTCATATCTTTAGGATGCTTTAATTGAAAAGCTTCGACTTAAAAATGCTCAACTCAAAGTTCAGAAGAAGAAGCTCATGATGCAGTTGAGGCAGGTAGGCATCCTATCATAAATGTTATAATTTTAGTGCTGTGACCCCTTGGCGACCCACAGCCAGGATTATGCCTGGGAATTTAAAATGAGTGTTGAGAAGTTAATATCACTGTTAGACTTTTCAGTTTCAGTTTCTTTTAAAGCCAAACTTTTTTAGTTGCCACTGTCATTTTGTAACATTAAATCGTTAATATTCACATCTGAAGTAAACATTTTATTCTTGAAACCAACTGCTACAAATAATTCTGTGTTAACAAGATATTTTATTAGAGCCCATCAATACTATGTCTCTCTATGATTTCTTTCAAAACAAAATGTTTGCTATTTTAAAAAAAATATGTAGGAATATAAAGAATTTTCAATATAAAAAAAAAAATGAAAACAAAACCAGTCCTGAAGTCTCCAAAAAACCTTGTACTCAGTCTCCCAAAAACCTAGTACACAGACTCCAAAAAAACCTCTACTCAGACTCCCAAAAACCCTGTACAAAGACTCAAAAAAACCCTGTACACAAAGTCCCAAAAACTCTGTATGAAATAAAACACTAAAAAATTATGATATGCCAAAAAAAATTCCACTTAACAATTTCAAATGAGTTACCATTGTAAACTTATGTACGGATTGAATTCCAAACAAGAGGTTAGCAGACATTCTGATAAGTGATGCCATTTTTGAACAAATTAAACTTTAAAAAAAATGATAACCTGGTCCTTTCTTGTTGAAAAGACATTTACATTGTAAACACTAAAGTACTAACAATAGGATACATTTTCTTAATTATTCTTAAAACGTTACCAGTGTCATTGTAACCCAGTGTGAGAACTATCTTCCTAATTCATGATGAATTTCCTTTTCAGAAAGAAGAGATGGGAGAGGTTCTCAATGAAGTTGACTTCAATCAACTCAAGATAGAAAACCAGCAATTTCTGGAGAAAATTGATGAAAGAAATCAAGATCTTTTGAGGCTAAAACTGATGGCTGGGAACACACTGCAGGTGTTAAACTCCTACAAGGTAGGCTGGGAACACACTTCAGGTCTTAAACTCATACAAGGTAGGCTGGGAAAACACTGCAGGTGTTAAACTCCTACAAGGTAGGCTGGGAACACACTTCAGGTCTTAAACTCCTACAAGGTAGGCTGGGAACACACTGCAGGTCTTAAACTCATACAAGGTAGGCTGGGAACACACTTCAGGTCTTAAACTTATACAAGGTAGGCTGGGAACACACTGCAGGTGTTAAACTCCTACAAGGTAGGCTGGGAACACACTTCAGGTCTTAAACTCATACAAGGTAGGCTGGGAACACACTGCAGGTGTTAAACTCGTACAAGGTAGGCTGGGAACACACTGCAGGTCTTAAACTCCTACAAGGTAGGCTGGGAACACACTTCAGGTCTTAAACTCATACAAGGTAGGCTGGGAACACACTGCAGGTCTTAAACTCATACAAGGTAGGCTGGGAACACACTTCAGGTCTTAAACTCCTACAAGGTAGGCTGGGAACACACTTCGGTCTTAAACTCATACAAGGTAGGCTGGGAACACACTTCAGGTCTTAAACTCCTACAAGGTAGGCTGGGAACACACTTCAGGTTTTAAACTCATACAAGGTAGGGTGGGAACACACTGCAGGTCTTAAACTCATACAAGGTAGGCTGGGAACACACTTCAGGTGTTAAACTCCTACAAGGTAGGCTGGGAACACACTTCAGGTCTTAAAATCATACAAGGTAGGCTGGTAACACACTGCAGGTCTTAAACTCATACAAGGTAGGCTGGGAACACACTGTAGGTCTTAAACTCATACAAGGTAGGCTGGGAACACACTGCAGGTGTTAAACTCCTACAAGGTAGGCTGGGAACACACTTCAGGTCTTAAACTCATACAAGGTAGGCTGGGAACACACTGCAGGTCTTAAACTCATACAAGGTAGGCTGGGAACACACTTCAGGTGTTAAACTCCTACAAGGTAGGCTGGGAACACACTTCAGGTCTTAAAATCATACAAGGTAGGCTGGGAACACACTGCAGGTGTTAAACTCATACAAGGTAGGCTGGGAACACACTGCAGGTCTTAAACTCATACAAGGTAGGCTGGGAACACACTGCAGGTGTTAAACTCCTACAAGGTAGGTTGGGAACACACTTCAGGTCTTAAACTCATACAAGGTAGGCTGGGAACACACTGAAGGTCTTAAACTCATACTAGGTAGGCTGGAAACACACTGCAGGACTAAAACTCGTACAAGGTAGGCTGGGAACACACTGCAGATCTTAAACTCACACATGATAGGCACAACACACTGCAGTCTTAGTTTCTTAAAATATAAGATAATAGTCTTAACTTAAAAAAAAAGGTTTTCAAAGCTAATTAATAATTACTTCTAGATCAGTGTTTAGATAAGACCTCTATTGGAAAACCTCAAAAATAAATTGCGATTGAGAAGAAAAAAACATGTGAGATTTCTATACCTTTACTTACTGAGCTGATATTTGTTACATTAACAAAAATACATGAGCTTTTAGCTCTTTTAATTACTTAGATATTTTGCCCACTCTTAAAAACTGCTACCTCTTACAAAAGAGTCTGAGAGACTGAAAAGTGATATTAGCTTTGAGATTTCCGTTCCCTTACTGACATAGATGATATTTTGTTCATTCAGAAAAAGCTGCTAACTCTTACAAAAGAATCTGAGAGACTGAAGAGTGAAATTAACTTCCGTCAAGATATGGATTCCAGAATTCAAGCTGAGACATCAGTAGCTGAAACAGTACGTGTTGAGCTACGTGTAATTTTATTACCCTTCTACTTCTGTATCATGCCATAGTGTAAAAATACTTGTTTCCTTATGTCCAGTTTGATTTCACATCATTAAGGATTGCTCGATTATGTCCAGTTTGATTTCACATCATTAAGGATTGCTCGATTATGTCCAGTTTGATTTCACATCATTAAGGATTGCTGGATTTTGTCCAGTTTGATTGCTGGATTATGTCCAGTTTGATTTCACATCATTAAGGATTGCTCGATTATGTACAGTTTGATTTCACATCATTAAGGATTGCTGGATTATGTCCAGTTTGATTGCTGGATTATGTCCTGTTTGATTTCACATCATTAAGGGTTGCTGGATTATGTCTAGTTTAATTGCTGGATTTTGTCCAGTTTGATTGCTGGATTATGTCCAGTTTGATTTCACATAATTAAGGAATATGAAAGAGTTTTCTGATACTCAATTAGTTTATTTTTCTTCAAGTACTAGTAAACTTACACCAGTAATCTAACTTGCTCCATTAATATTCTTACTTACACCAGTAATATAACTTACTTGTTTAATATTCTTTCTTACACCAGTAATCATAGTTACTCCATTAATATTCTTTCTTACACCAGTAATCATAGTTACTCCATTAATATTCTTACTTACACCAGTAATCTTTCTTATTCCATAATAATCCCTTTTTACACCAGTAATCTTTCTTACTCCATAAAATTCTTACTTACACCAGTAATCATAGTTTCTCCATTAATATTCTTACTTATACCAGTAATTTTACTTACACCATTAACATTCTTACTTACACCAATATTCTTACTTACACCAGTAATCTTACTTACTCCATTAATATTCTTAATTACACCAGTAATTTTACTTACTCCATAAAATTCTTACCTACACCAGTAATATTTCTTACTCCATTAATATTCTTACTTACACCAGTAATCTTACTTACTCCATTAATATTCTTACTTACACCAGTAATCTCACTTCACCATTAATATTCTTACTTACACCAGTAATCTCACTTACACCGGTAATCTCACTTACTAACACCAGTAATCTCAGTTACTTACACCAGTAATCTCACTTACTTACACCAGTAATCTCACTTACTTACACCAGTAATCTCTCTTACTAACACCAGTAATCTCCACCTTCTTACACCAGTAATCTCACTTACTTACACCAGTAATCTCACTTACTTACACCAGTAATCTCACTTACACCAGTAATCTTTCTTAAGATGTGTTTAAAACTGGTGCTTCTTCTCCTTTTGATTCATTTTACTCTGTATTTCTTCAGGAAAGAGCCAAAGCTGAACAGATGAACAAGAAATTGCGCAAGCAGCTGAGCAACTTCAAGGTGCCCAGTGTCATGGAATATGTCAAAGAGAAGGCATCCATGTATGAGCTCAATAAAAAAGTCAAGAGCTGGGAAAGGAAGGTCGACATAGCAGAGGTGATTCAATGAAGTTTTAAATTGTACACCATTGAGCATTTGACGTTCTTGACATTGTGAGGAAGCAAAAGAGGTGTTTGTGTTCTACAATTAAAATCATACTTAAAAGATTTAATAATTGCATTTTAGGCTTTTTCTTTTTGTGAGCCATTATTTTAGGTTTTGTGCACATCAAAGAGAGGTGAGAATCATGCTTTTATGTTGTGCACATCAAAGAGAGGTGAGAATCATGCTTTTATGTTGTGCACGTCAAAGAGAGGTGAGAATCATGCTTTTTATGTTGTATCAAATTGTTAGACCATTACACCTCATGATGTTTTTATCAGTCGGCATGAATCTCTTTAATTCTAGATGGCGCTGAAGACGCATCGTAAGACCTGGCAACAAATTGTGGCCAGAGGAGCGTTCTCCCGTGATCAGTGGCAGGGAGCCATACAAGTTTAACATGGATGAACATTTCACTGGGGTAAACATAACAAACAAATTGTGAACATGTGTTTTTAAACTTTTAAATGCATTTTATTATTTTGGTCTAGATGAGTTTTATTGTTGGTCAAAATTTCAGCCTTAAGTTGGCTTATTTAATAAAAAAAATAAGATTTGAAATTTTCTGGTTTTATTGTTTTAAGCAAATGTTAAGACAACAATAATTTTGACAGTATCTATGTTTTCCATCCAACATTGTGGGTATAATTGACAAAATGATATATATAGAGATTTTAAAATTAGGGCTTTAAATAGTCTTTAATTTTTTATCAAGGTAAAAAAAAAAAAAATACAATTTGTCCATTCACTGCAGATGTTTCTCAAGGGATGTTCAATTTAAACTCAGTGCTCTCCCTCAGTGGCGTCGCTAGGGGGGTGTGGGGGGTGCGGACCGCACCGGATGTCACCATGACAGGGGTGACACCAAATTGAAAAATTTCATACTTGCAGAGCACACGCTGCTCGGTCTAACCGAATTTCATTAAAGGAAAAGCCATCACGTGTACATTTACCACTCAAGTTACCAATCCAAATGCGTGGTTTTTAAAAGTTCAAGTCTGATGCGTCAGAAATGAGGTGACCCTATAATTAGATCACAAATACACTGTTTTGACCATGATTCAACATCAATTCTATTATGGAATTTCTGTGGAGAGAAGATTAAGATTTAAGAAGAGAGTGGACAATTAAAAGGTGCTGGACAGTCTCTGCGAGTAGGAAACAGTACGGAGCCAGTGGGCTGTATTTATCGCCTGGGTTAACTCTAGATCAGATTATCAGCAATTAAGGAAGTAACTGATATGTTTAGGGCTGTTCAACTCAAGAGCCTACTATCAGCAAGTGAAGTAGAGTTATTGTTGTCTGTTTCCAAATTAACTTTCTTCTATGTCGAGGTATCAGAAGTTGAACTTTTAAAAGAAATACCAGGCTTGAATTTCACAAAGTCAAGGACGGGTCAGTATTTGAGTTTGAGGTTTTCAAATTCATAGCTGAATAGAATCTCTTCAATACTCTCGCTCAGCCTTTCATGGTTTCTTAAGATATTTGTGTATGTGGCTTCATGTGAGCAGATCTTTTCAAAACTAAGGCTTATCAAGAACTATTTACTATCCACCATGATACAGTCAAGGATTTCTGATTTGGCTCTACTAGCAATTGAAGGAGATATGGTGAAGGATAATGATTTTGATCAAGTGATTGACAGATTTGCCACTTTAAAGACCAGGAAATGAATTTTGTAAAGTAAATTTAATGTAAAATAACTATAACTTAAAGTTGTTACTGCTCTTATATAAATTGACCTGCTGACCTTAAATTAATTTGCTTTTGTACTTGTCAATGTTATATTGTGGACTTTTTTGAAGAAGAAATCCATCGTGGAAGTGACACCATGAGTTTACCGCACCGGGTCACACCAACCCTAGCTATGCCACTGCTCTCCCTTCTATGGTCTTTGCTATGCGTTGACTGATGTGTTATCTCGCCTTATGCTGTTATGTTATGTGGCCAATGAGCCAGAACAATGAGTCAGTTCACTCCCAAATTGACATTGAGAATGGATAAATACAAACACGTGGGCAAAAGAAATCAGGCAACTCAGTATTAGTATTTATTAAGGACTTCTCAAACCATTCCAGGGCCTTGTTGGCATACGTTGAGTGACCAAAATATGTAACAACAATTTCATATCATTTTAGTATTTAAATTGCATGTAATTTCATTTAAGAGACATTTCAAAGTGAGATGAGAATCTATTGTTATGTCAGCTGCTAGTGTATTTGTTTTTGACAAGACCAAACACATTCTCAGCCAGGGTACTTGATGCTGTTTTGGGAATGATTATTTAAAAATCTCTCTTGCCGTAACAAATAATTACAACATTGACAGGAAGGTAAAATTTTTTAATTTTATTTTCAGAAAACAAAATTTCTGTACTGAGCACAACATATTTAAATGACCAAAACATTTTCTTTTGCTATTTTAAAATTATTGTTTAAGATATCTGTTCATTAGCTTTGTCTTAGCTTAAAGTTTTTTTTTAAGTCCAAAGGATGTTTCTACTTATTTGAAGACAAAATTTAACCAAATTCATAATGCATAAGGTCAGTTACAGTGCATATTACAACTGACAAAAATATATTTCACTGAGGTGATTTTTGAAGCTTTTCATTTTATGAATATTTACAACCTAAAGGTTTGGCTTTGTATAAATATTTACAACCTATAGGTTCAGCTTTGTTTGCTTTAATTTTAAAATGTTGACAATGATAATAAAAAAAATGTTATAAATAAAATTTTTGACAAGGGAAACTTGAAAAACAAACTTGTTATGTTTTAAATTTCTATAAACTTGGTGACTTATGATTCCTTCTGTTTATACATTTGAATAATATTGGAATAGAAATTTCTGGCATCCGTCCGTCACAATGTGATGATGGTGTAGACTCTTTAGGACGAAATCCACAAGGACTAAGGTTATTCTTTTTTAGGATTATAAGCTGGTTCCCTACACAGCATATGCAAGGACACTAAAGCTTTGAGTTATCTTTCCTCAGAGCACTGTCAGAAGGCTTAATTATTTGGCATATGTTGAGTGGCCTAAGCCTATGACAACAATTTCCTAACATAACAGTTCTGCAATAGGTCTCATTTTATTTTAGAGACCCTCTCCCATGCTCAATATCTGTCATGCTACTGGCTTAAAATAATAAAACACAGAGCAATGAAATAAACATGTTTATTTATGTTCTAATCTTTTCAACATTTCAAAATTCAACTACTGAACATTATCTATTCCCAGCTGGTAGTTGAACCTTTCTTGTCATCAAAGTCAACCAAGAAGTTTTACTTGTTAAGCAAGAGCAGGCATTGAGAAAATCACACGCATACTTTTTCAGCCGTCTGCATTTGGATTCAATGAATTCAACTTTTTAAAAATAGACACTAACACATTACTGATTTGTTTCATTTCAATATTTTCAAGTTAATTTTTTTAAAACAACCAATGACCCAAACTGAACTTCAAATCACCCTGGAGTTTTAAGGGACATAAGGCACACATCTTTTGACAAGGATATGCTCATTTACATTATAGGCAACAGTAGCAATATTTAAAATAGCTTTGTGCAATACAATGTGTAATTAAATTGAAAATTTTATGGGGGCCTACCGTTTCGCAAAAAAAAATATTCATAAATTAAACGGTAGGTGGGGGCCTACCGTAAAACAATTAGGGCCTACTGTAAAAAAATTGGGGCCTATTGTAAAATCATTGGGGCCTACCGTAAAACAATTGGGGCCTACCGTTTAATTTATATTTATTTTTTAACTTAAAAAAAATCTTGTCAACCTCTGGACATGTGAGTCATATGCATTGTCATTGTATAACACTGTCACAACATAACACTGTCAAACCATAACATAGTCACACCTTAACAGTTTCACAACATAACAATGTCATAAACATAACCATTTCACAACATAACAATGTCATAAACATAACTATTTCACAACATAACAATGTCATAAACATAACCATAAAAAAATTGAGTTTTAAAACTCTTTTTGAACAAAACTAATTTGAATAAATTTAAAAAAAAAAAATATTATTTGAACTTTCCACTTAAAGATGAACAATTAAAAATAGTATGTTGGAGGAAAACGTCTAGAATGGTTTTCACCTCCATGTAATATATGGTTTTCAACTGCAGGTAATTAAACCAATGATTTTTAAATGGAGGGTAGTTATTTAGTTTTAGTGTGGAAGTTTTGTTTTAGAGGTGAAAAGTATAAACCAGTTCGTCCTTTTCTTATGTGTCTTAGGTTTTACAACTCAAAATGCATAGAATGCTGTTTTCCCCTTTGCCATTTGGCCATGAAACATATATCACCAGTAACAGAATAATTAATACATGTCAGACGTTTCAGACCATATAAGAGACTTTTAAAAAACAACACCCACCTCTCAAAAAAAAATAAAAAAAAAAATGAAGAAAAGAAATAACACAGAAATCAGAGGTTAAACCAAATTATCTTTCTGAAATTTTTTGTTTTCCAAAATAACTTATTTGTTAATGAAGAATAGTTAGTCTAGTTTCTTTGGATTTATCATTTTATTGCATATTGAATAATATATAGTGTACATTTAAAGTTGCAAAGTAGCAGTTACTAATATAAAAAGGATAAAATAAAAAGTAAGGTTAATTAAAAGAATATAAGTGTACAATTTTTTATTACTGGTCTCCCAGAAGTTTGTTTTTATGTTAGCTAATGTTTTTGCATTCCCATATATGCTTTTGATATATCCAGACTTTGATATTTGATAATTTATTTCAATCAAATAATTTTGTAATAAACAGACATATAATTAAGTGGAATTGAATAAGAAAAGTGTCTAATGTTTTTTAACATAATTATTATAATTTTAGGTTTTCTCATTTGGAGTGTGCAAAAAAAATGTTTATCTTGAAGATAATTCATTTAAATAATTATAATTTTTAAAATTGTTTCATTTTTAGAATTATATTTTTTACATTTAAAACATATCCTTGGTATTCCTCACATGATGGTGCACTATTTCTTTGTTGAAAATTTAAAATATTTTAATTAAATTTCTTTCAAAATAAATATGTAACATATTAAAAAATGTTGACAAAATGAAAATATCACAATCCAAATACTTTAGAGGCACAGTCTTGTCACAAAATCCCAGGATGCTAAAATTGCATAAAATGTACGTAGCGTTATATAAATTCTAAGAATTTTTATTTCATTATTTAGAATCACTTGTTTATAGTCATTGTAAATTTAGTTTTAAAATACCCTTCAAAGATTTCAGTAATAACATTGCAACATTTCTTTATCACAACATAATTTGTAATTGAAAAAAGTAATGCTCTTAGCATCATACAACACCAGGATCAAATTAAATTCATCCTGGAGAAGAATCATCATTTAAAAAATAGTTTTCCAATATTATTCTTGGTGTAAGAAAATATGTTGTGAAAAGGCACACAAATTAAATGTCTGAAGGATGAGCAGCACCTCGCTACCAAACGAATTTCTCTTTGAAAAATAAAACATACCTCACATATTGAGTGTAGACACTACTCACAGCAAAGTAAGTACACATATCATTATAAAATAGAAAGGCAGCTGTACATTCATAACACCTTTACTTAATTTTTTTCCAACTCATTATGCAGGACTATTATAATAATTAGTTACTCCACTGAAAACTCAGGATGAAAACAAGAAAAAAAACCACCTAAGTTTTAAACACAATGTCAATTTAATCAATATAAATATAAACCATAAAATGTTATAATGTATAAAAAAAAGGTCTATGATTTATCTTTTAACTGGTCCATGAGTTACCTTTTAACTGGTCTATGAGTTACCTTATATCTGGTCTATGAGTTGCCTTTTATCTGTTCTATTAGTTACCTTTTAATTGGTCTATAAGTTACCTTTCATCTGGTCTATGAGTTACCTTTTAATTGGTCTACGAGTTATCTTTTATCTGGTCTATGAGTTACCTTTTAACATTCATTCATTACAATATACAACGTTGTCACTGCATATTTTGTCATTTAAAAATAGCAGCTTATAAAGGGAGTATTTCTTTAATATAGTGTTATTTCACGCTTAGCTGAGATGGTGGGGTGGGTTAACTCTACCGAGATGGCAAGCAATGTTCCCTCTAAGGTTTGTTGGTTCGTGTGCAAAGTTTTGCAGCATCAATTTTTATTGTGTGCAAAATTTTACAGCCCACAAACACAAACACACACACATGGAAATTTGCTGCGCAGCTTAAAGGGAACGTTGATGGCAAGTAGGCTTTATTTCAGCTGAGACAGTGGGGACTGTGTGGCTTTATTTCAGCTGAAACAGTGGGGACTGTGTGGCTTTATTTCAGCTGAAACAGTGGGGACTGTGTGGCTTTATTTCAGCTGAGACAGTGGGGACTGTGTGGCTTTATTTCAGCTGAGACAGTGGGGACTGTGTGGCTTATTTCAGCTGAGACAGTGGGGACTGTGTGGCTTTATTTCAGCTGAGACAGTGGGGACTGTGTGGCTTTATTTCAGCTGAGACAGTGGGGACTGTGTGGCTTTATTTCAGCTGAGACAGTGGGGACTGTGTGGCTTTATTTCAGCTGAGACAGTGGGGACTGTGTGGCTTATTTCAGCTGAGACAGTGGGGACTGTGTGGCTTTATTTCAGCTGAGACAGTGGGGACTGTGTGGCTTATTTCAGCTGAGACAGTGGGGACTGTGTGGCTTTATTTCAGCTGAGACAGTGGGGACTGTGTGGCTTATTCAGCTGAGACAGTGAGGACTGTGTAGCTTATTTCAGCTGAGACAGTGAGGACTGTGTAGCTTATTTCAGCTGAGACAGTGAGGACTGTGTAGCTTATTTCAGCTGAGACAGTGGGGACTGTGTGGCTTATTTCAGCTGAGACAGTGGGGACTGTGTGGCTTTATTTCAGCTGAGACAGTGGGGACTGTGTGACTTATTCAGCTGAGACAGTGAGGACTATGTAGCTTATTTCAGCTGAGACAGTGGGGTCTGTGTAGCTTATTTCAGCTGAGACAGTGGGGACTGTGTGGCTTTATTTCAGCTGAGACAGTGGGGACTGTGTGACTTATTCAGCTGAGACAGTGGGGACTGTGTGGCTTATTTCAGCTGAGACAGTGGGGACTGTGTGGCTTTATTTCAGCTGAGACAGTGGGGACTGTGTGACTTATTTCAGCTGAGACAGTGAGGACTGTGTAGCTTATTTCAGCTGAGACAGTGAGGACTGTGTAGCTTATTTCAGCTGAGACAGTGAGGACTGTGTAGCTTATTTCAGCTGAGACAGTGGGGACTGTGTGGCTTATTTCAGCTGAGGCGTAAATTGAACATTCAACTTTTCCTTTCTCTAAATGACTAAGAAATTTTTCAAACACAGACAGTTGTTATTTTCCCATTCCCCGCATGTGCCATCAGTTACATCATGCCTTTCAATAAAATTGTGGAAGGAAAAATTATCAGGATATGCTTAAAGTAACCAAAATAAATTCAGTAAGCTGTCAATAGTTTAAAATAAGTTTGGAAATAAAGGAGCAATGTCCATCATAATCATTCTTTAACACGAGGCAGATGATAGTACAGATCATAATCACCCTTTAACACGAGGCAGATGATAGTACAGATAAATATTGAGCATGTGATTCGGGATAGAGTGAAAAATTAGTGATGCAACAGATCGTCAAGGAATGTCAAACAACATGTATAATGAAAAAAAAAATAATCAGAGCCGTAAGTGATGGTTTTTTTTTGGTTTTTTTGGGTCCTCTCTTTGCCTTTAAGAGTCTCTAAACCAGCGGTTCTCAACCTGGGGGTCAGAAAAGACATATTTATGAAGTAGCAATGAAAATAATTTTATGGTTTGGGGTCGCCACAACATGAACTGTATTAAAGGGTCACGGCATTAGGAAGGCTGAGAACCACTGGTCTAAATGGTGACGTTTTCAAAAATGGCTGCAGAAAATAATACGATCTGTCTGTTCTGATACTTTTAACCTGAACGGATTTATTTTAAAAAAAAAAACGGAACCTAACCATTTACCTAACTTAACTTTTTAAATCCAGAAATTAAGAAACTTTGTGACTGTAGGTTATCTTTTGTTTTAATGTTCCATTGTGATGCTATAAGGCTCTCTAGTTTAAAATAATGTACATTGATGTTTACATTTTGCTTTGACTATACTGCAATAGTCATTCAAACCTTCTTTACTTTAGCACTGATGGAAGTGGCCATTACTGATATATTAATACCAAATGAATAATGATACAATGATACATATTGCTTAGCTTAATACTGCAACAACAAGACGGTAGGTAACATTGTTCCATATCAAAACAAAAATCCACATTTACTGATGAATATGGTACTAGCTCTCCACTCAGCCTAAAATGCACTTGAGCTGATCTTAAATCCTAAACAAATGACAAAACCCATAGGACTGTACGTAAGGAGCTTCTCTGTGAATTATAACATTAATACATAAAGATAGTGTTACAGTTTTGTTCAATCTAATTTGCTGAAAATTATTTAAAAATTTTTACATTTTAAATGTTTTCAAATATGAAAAAGCTTTATAAGGAAACAGATCAGTAGCCTACATGTGACCTACACCATAATTAATGATATGTGGCCCATACCATAATTAATGAAATGTGGCCTACACCATAATAAATGATATGTGGCCTACACACCATAATTAATAATATGTGGCCTACACCATAATCAAAGATATGTGGCCCACACCATAATTAATGGTATGTGGCCTCTACCATAATTAATGATATGTGGCCTCTACCATAATTAATGATATGTGGCCAACACCATAATTAATAATATGTGGCCTACACCATAATTAATGATATGTTGCCTCTACCATAATTAATGATATGTGGCCTTTACCATAATTAATGATATGTGGCCAACACCATAATTAATGATATGTGGCCTACACCATAATTAATGATATGTGGCCTACACCATAATTAATAATATATGGCCTACACCATAATTAATGATATGTGCCCTCTACCATAATTAATGAATATGTGGCCTTTACCATAATTAATGATATGTGGCCAACACCATAATTAATGATATGTGGCCAACACATAATTAATGATATGTGGCCTACACCATAATTAATTATATGTGGCCTACACCATAATTAATGATATGTGGCCAACACAATTCTTAATGATATGTGGCCTTTACCATAATTAATAATATGTGGCCAACAACGTAAATATTGTTATGTGGCCTACACCATAATTAATGATATTTGGCTAACACCATAATTAATGATATGTGGCTTTACCATAATTAATGATATGTGGCCTACACCATAATTAATGATATGTGGCCTTTACCATAATTAATGATATGTGGCCTGCACCATAATTAATGATATGTGGCCAACACCATAATTAATGATATGTGGCCTACACCATAATTAATGATATGTGGCAAACACACCATAATTAATGATATGTGGCCAACACTATTAATGATATGTGGCCTACACCATAATTAATTATATGTGGCCTTTACCATAATTAATGATATGTGGCCAACACATAATTAATGATATGTGGCCTACACCATAATTAATTATATGTGGCCTACACCATAATTAATGATATGTGGCAAACACCATAATTAATGATATGTGGCTAACACCATTCTTAATGATATGTGGCCTTTACCATAATTAATAATATGTGGCCAACAACGTAAATATTGTTATGTGGCCTACACCATAATTAATGATATTTGGCTAACACCATAATTAATGATATGTGGCTTTTACCATAATTAATGATATGTGGCCTACACCATAATTAATGATATGTGGCCTTTACCATAATTAATGATATGTGGCCTGCACCATAATTAATGATATGTGGCCCACACTATAATTATTGATATGGGGCCTACACCATAATTAATGGTATGTGGCCTCTACCATAATTAATGATAAGTGGCCAACACCATAATTAATAATATGTGGCCTACACCATAATTAATGATATGTTGCCAACACACCATAGTTAATGATATGTGGCCTCTACCATAATTAATGATATGTGGTCAACACACCATAATTAATGATATGTGGCCTGCACCATAATTAATGATATGTGGCCTCTACCATAATTAATTATATGTGGCCAAAACAATACTTAATAATATGTGGCCTACACCATAATTAATGATATGTGCCCTCTACCATAATTAATGATATGTGGCCTTTACCATAATTAATGATATGTGGCCAACACCATAATTAATGATATGTGGCCTTTACCTTAATTAATGATTTGTGGCCTATACCATAATTAATGAAATGTGGCCTTTACCATAATTAATGATATGTGGCCAACACCATAATTAATGATATGTGTCCTTTACCTTAATTAATGATTTGTGGCCTTTACCATAATTTCTACATATCTCTTAATTTTATTTGCAATGCACAAGATATTTTAATGCATAAAGGTGTGAGAAAGTTACATGGGTGGCTAACTATAACACAGTAGAATTGTTGGGTCAATGGGTGGCTATCTAAAACACAGTAGAATTTTTGGATCAATCACACATTAGTTTCCCTGGCTGTGTTATGTGAAGATGCTGTCATGATATCCTCTATGTAAAACTCTATTGGTCTTTCTGGACCTTTGTTCACATTGTGGTCCTCATCAGAGTTGTGGCCAGAATCACGATCTTCTGACCTGATTATGAAATTTAAAAAAACACAACTTTATACAAAATTTGTACAGCAATAACTAAACTAAAACATAAATACTTATTTTTTACGTATGTCATTTGTTGAACAGATGCTAGTGAATAGCAGAGACAATCATGGCAAGGGGGCTCAAAGTTCAATGACTAGCCACTCATTTGTTATTCCAGTACCTTTTTGTTTAGAGAGCTGCCCATTATCCTAGTGTCACAGACCATCTAATTTTTTCTTCGTGTTTTAACTAAACATTCTCCTAAAGCATTTAATGACGCCTACAAATAACTAAAAAAACGAAAAGCAATACTAATTTTAATTGGCTAAAAAGTCTTTGTATTATAATTAATGGGAATATTCATGCACAATTTCTTGTCTTAAACTCAAGATGTCATTAAATAATTATACTCATGTTATTATAACATTGTGTTTCTCTTATGTTGATGTCATCTGATGGCTATTACCTTGATGACAACTGACTGCTATAGTAACACTCACCTTGTTGACATCTGACTTCCCAGAAACCTTGTTGTTGATATGGTGGCTCTTTGTAAATCTGAGGCCAATTTCTTGGCATGATCATAATGAAGGATTCCTATTTTTCTTAAAATGGCCACCACAGGTATCCAGAGTATAGAGATAAACACTAAAAGGCCACACACGAGACTTGCATACCACGGGTAAGGCAGATCTGTCATCAATGTCTGGGATAAAAACAAACAAAAAATCATACTAGTAGGATTATACCTTTGACAAAATAATTCAGTTTGTTTTACAGTTAAAATAGATAAAAAAAAGTCTTCATCACCAGATTATCTTAATCAAAGTTGAAGAGACTTTCAAACTTGAAATAAGCTGTGAACAGATATAAAGTGTTAACATCGCTACATGTCTACAATCTGCTCACTACAAAAGTCTAAAAAGAAATTAGCCAATGGACATGAGGCTGTGGGACTTTAGCCAATGGGAATTGGGACATTAACCAGTAGTCATTAGGCAATGGGATACAAGGCAATACGCATTGGTAGGCTACATTAGCCCATAGTTATTAGGCAATGGGATACAAGCCAATAGGCATTGGTACATTAGCCAATGGGACATTCATTAGCCAGCAGAGGCCACCATAATGTGAAAAATTAAATTATGCATTTATTAAAATAATGTTAATAATTTGGTGTAAATGAATGAATCATAATAAGTTTGTTGTGAGGTTAAAAGTTCATAGATTTTTCAAACTTCATATGATGGCTGTGAAGGAAATCTTTTTGAAAGTTCCTTGTGTAATCGGTATTTCTGCACTACTCGATCATAAATAATATTTCAGACATTTTCTACAAGTTCCAAGTTTTTACAACATGAAGGAAACGTCATTAAAGTGCAGCACATTCCCACACCTCAAGATTGTAGGCTGTAGTTGGCTGTTATTGATTATCCTTTGTACTAGCCGCAATGACATCTACGCCATTGTCTGCGCCATCTGTCAGATGTCGTACATAGGGGAGACAGGACGCCGACGCTCTGACAGGTTTACGGAACACCTCCGTAACATTACGCAAGATAAACAGTGTCCCGTCTCCAAACTCTTCAATAGTAGCGACCACCAGGGCAAGGCGGACTTTTCAATATGCGTGATCGTGGCTAGCACAAACTCACCGAGCTGGGTGAATTTGGAACACAGGCTTATCCTGACCTATGACTAAAACCACGACATGGTATGAACGTGATGTCTCTTTTCACAGCTTGAACGTAGCTCAGCCCCTCCACGTTTCAACCTATCGCACTGGACTTACTTCTCTTTTCTTTTCCACTTCCCTATTTAATCTCTCACCCACTTACTTTCTGTCACAATTCATTTGCTGCCCGCTTGGTTACTACTTCTAAGCTAAGTGCTATTTTAAATTTTATTCTGTTTTTTCTGTTTTGTTCACTGACGAAGACTTCCTGCCGACACGTTCGTTGTTTTGTTGCGTTCCCTTCTCAGGTTTAACCTTACTTTGTTTTACTAAGTTTCGTATATAGCTTATTGATTGTTGCTCATGAATGAAATGTATAAAATTCATACAATTTCAGCTTTACAATAAATTCCTATTTTATTAAGTATAATACTGGCAAGTATATAGAATACCTAGACGTCATTTTATAAAATTGTCCACCCACAATTTAAGTAAAAGTTCTGCTACTCACTGTTTGTAAGTAAAAGTTCTGCTACTCACTGTTTGTGCACTGTAAGCCTTGTAAGTGATTGGTTTGGAGAACATGGTGACGATCGTTCCTAAAAGAAGGGCGATTATTGATAAAGGGGCTATAACTGTCCATGTGGCTCTCCAGAAGTAGTTGGGCTTATATCCAATCATATACTTGACCTCATCGCAAAACCTGGATCGGAAAATTGATAAAAAAAATAAATTATTTCTTGTTAAGTAGAAATACTTACAGATGTAGAACTATCAATTGTATATTTAGAAACCTAAAAATTGACAAAAATGGTATAAGTGACGCACGTAAATACCCCCCCCCCCCCCAAAAAAAAAAAAAAAAAAAAAAAAAAAAACAAAAAAAACACAAAAAAAAAAAAAAAAAAAAAAAAAAAACCCCATACAAACCTCTCTTAGATTTAATTAATATTTTATTTCTTCGACTTTCTTTTTAAAATAATTTATTGAAAAACATTTCCTTTGTTATTTTTAAAACACAAATTCGGTGAAAAATTTCAGTTTAGAAGAATGGGGGGAAGGGCTAAAATGAAAGTTGTGATTAAAGTTTTCATCTAACCTGTTTACACCAAAGATCCAGCCTACGGCAATACACTCAAACAATGCAATCAGGATGAGGGGGAACGAGCCGGCAAAGGTGTCAAACAATGCCACCCAGTAGGACCCACTGCCAGTCACAAACAGTAGGCCAACCAGGCACATCACTAAACACAGTAATCCTGGAGGCAGGCGGGGGAAAAAAATGTCCAGGTAACAGTCCAAATAAAATGCGTGTACCATAAATACTACAGTTAAACATTTATAGATTTGTGCATCCTGTTCAAGCGAGGTAATCAAAGAGCTCATTCAACCAATCAACTAATCGGTGACATGCTTGGACAGTCATTTAAACCAATCAACTAATCGGTGACATGCTTGGACAGTCATTGAAACAAGTTTTCAACAAGAACACTCACCGGAAACAAGCCATTTCTTCTTCATCCAAGGGAACACTTCCAGGTCGTACAATGAAGTTGTCACCCCTTCAATGGTACCGAACTCGCTGCCCAGGCCAAGAGAGAGCAGCATGACAAAGAAGACAATGGACCAGAAGGGAGCTGAAGGCCCAAATTCATTGATGGCTTGTGTGAAAATGATAAAGGCCAAGCCCGTCCCTTCCACACCCTAGAACACCAAACAGAGAACAAACAGGTAAACAATGGATGCACAACTAAAAGAACTACAACAACATAGACAGCTACTATAACCTCAAACAACATGGACAGCTACCATAACTACAACACCATAGACAGCTACAATAACTGCAACACCATGGACAGCTACATTAACTGCAACAACATGGGCAGCTACAATAACTACAGCACCATAGCCCGATACAATAACTACCACACCACAGGCAGCTACAATAACTACAACAACATAGACAGCTACAATAACTGCAGCAACATAGACAGCTACAATAGCTGCAACAACATAGACAGCTGCAATAACTGCAACAACATAGACAGCTGCAATAACTACATCAACATCGAAGATAGATACAATAACTACAACAACATAAAAGACAATTACAATTACAACACAACAGTATCAAAGACAGCTACAACAACTACAACATCTACGACAATAACATTAACATTTGCTTCTGTTTTGTTGTTATACAGCTGGTTTTTAATTCAATAAATGTATGTTATTTTTTAAAGTCACGATTATGTTTGCTAATATTTTTATGTACAGCGCGGTGATCACAACCTTAGGCTGGGGTTCCGCGCTTCATACGACCACTGAGAATAATAATAATAATAACTATACTATCAAAATAAATTATAATGACTGCAATATAAACGACAATAACAATGACCACAATATCAAAGACAATTACAATAGCTACAATGTCAAAGACAGCTACAGAAATACAATGTCAAAGACAGCTACAATAACTACAATATCAAAGACAGCTACAATATCTACAATATCAAGACAGCTACAATAACTACAATATCAAAGACAGCAACTTGATTAAGATCGTCCTATAGGACAGCGTTTCCAAAACTTTTAAGTTTTTCCGGCCCCTTGGAAATGTTTCAAAGTTTCACAAGGGTCAGGTGCTATTATAGTTTTTTTTTTAAAATTGCCATAATCAGCATCTTGAGTGGACCGAAAGCGTGATATGCGCGTACTGGCGCCGGTCCGTGAATCACCAATACGGGAACAATGCTCTAAGCTACACACTCCTTAGTTCCCAACCTTATTGCGATCATCTTCTAGGCCAGCAACTTCCAAACTAAAGTTTGGCGGACCGTTGGACACATTTGCCATTGCACCAGGGACCAGTGGACACATTTCCCATTGCACAAGGGACCAGTGGACACATTTCCCATTGCACCAGGGACCAGTGGACACATTTTCCATTGCACCAGGGACCAGTGGACACATTTCCCATTGCACCATGGACCAATGGACACATTTCCCATTGCACCAGGGAACAGTGGACACATTTCCCATTGCACCAGGGACCAGTGGACACATTTCCCATTGCACCAGGGACCAGTGGACACATTTCCCATTGCACCAGGGACCAGTGGACACATTTCCCATTGCACCAGGGACCAGTGGACACATTTCTCATTGCACCAGGGACCAGTGGACACATCTCCCATTGCACCAGGGACCAGTGGACACATTTCTCATTACACCAGGGACCAGTGGACAATTTTCCTAGTGCACGGCGACTGGTGCCAGATTTATTAAGTAGCCTATATTTTTTAACTTAAATATTTTTAATCCACGATCAGCCGATTCGAGTTGACAAGATCACTTGTTGAGATTTATCGTTTATAACTAATGCTAGACGATATCAGATTTTGTGTTTGTTTAGGTTAAGACTGTTTTAAAATTTAAAAACTTCAAAGCAGTTTTTGGACTTATTTGTAAATGAAGCTTTAATTGGGAATACATATGTGTCTCTTCTTCTTCCTTTACCTTTTTACCCCGTCCGAGGCATAGGCCATCCACACACATTTTCCATTTATCACGGTCCTGTGCTTTCCTTCCCAGTTGCTTCCAGGTGTATCCCATACTTTGCGTGTCTTTCTCTAGCTCGCGTCTCCATGCATTCTTTGACCTTCCTCTCTTTCTTTTCCCTGTGGATTCCATGTTAGAGACTGTCTGGTGATGCTACCTGTTGGTTTTCGGAGAGTATGCCCTATTCACCTCCATCTTCTCTTTATGTCTTCATGAATGGTCACCTGACAAGTCCTTTCTAGTAGCTCTTTGTTAGTGATGATATTTGACCATTTGATGATCAGGTTCTTTCCAAGGCATGAGTTAATGAAGGTCTGTACGTTCTGCGTAATGCTCGCTGTTGTTTTCCAAGTTTCTGCTCCATATAGTAGAACTGTTTTGACATTTTGGTTAAAGATTTTGACTTTGGTTTGCAGCTTTAGCCCCTTCGACTCCCTGACATGCGCCTTGGATCCGCTAATTAAAACGATGGTGCTGCCTAAGTTTGTGCCTCTGTGACTATTTCATGAGAAATGTTTGTTGACATTTACATGAAATCGTGGCGCGATTGTATAGCCACATTCCGAATATAGAAACACATTCCTCCTGCTGTACTCTTGGACACAACATTTCAGCTAAATTTTAAGCTTATATTTGTGTTAGGTTTTGTTCATTAAAATATATTAAAATATAGTTCATGAACAGACTTTATAGGTAAGAGCTTTCCAAACAAGTGTGTCCCTTTCAGGATGCAGGTGTGTCTCAACACGATAGTGTGTACCCTTTAGGGCGCAGGTGTGTCGCCACTTCATAATTTGTCCATTTCAGGATGCAGGTGTGTCTCAACACGATAGTGTGTCCATTTCAGGATGCAGGTGTGTCTCAACACGATAGTGTGTCTATTTCAGGATGCAGGTACGTTACGTAACTAACGAACACGACTTATTTGACAATAAAGGAGCTGAAAGTACGGCACATTATTACGTTAACCTTTGGTCACGTGATTTCAGTCACCTTGTCCAATGGTCTCGTGTGCTCTATGGGATCTCCCTTCTTGCCAAATAAAAACAATTAAGGTTGCCGGTTTAGCCATGATATTGTAAGTCGAAGAAAATAAATATTTAAATTGGTTGGTCTTATTGGTTGTATTTTAATTTGTTAGGTTTTCACATTTCTGAAAGTTGTAATCTGGGACATAACGGCATCTATGCTACACACTATCCCAGCTGCCTACTTATTGAGATCGTCTTCTAGGCTACACTCTATCCCAGCTGCCTACCTTATTGAGATCGTCTTCTAGGCTACACACTATCCCAGCTGCCTACCTTATTGAGATCGTCTTCTAGGCTACACTCTATCCCAGCTGCCTACCTTATTGAGATCGTCTTCTAGGCTACACTCTATCCCAGCTGCCTACCTTATTGAGATCGTCTTCTAGGCTACACTCTATCCCAGCTGCCTACCTTATTGAGATCGTCTTCTAGGCTACACTCTCGCAATGGCTTGGCAGTGATGTTTTTAAATGCTGTCTGATTGCCTTCGAACAGTTGCTGGTAAACATCTCGTGAGATGTCCGTGGAGCTGTTGTGTCCTGCGCACAGCGTAGAGCTGTAATTCAAGTTGCCACACATTTCTCCCAGGATTTTAATATTGCTGGAAAGAATGATTTACAAACAATGTTAATGTTACTGTCAGCTGGAAGGAATGATCTATAATAATAATAATAATTCCCTAGTGGACGTTGTCCGCCCCAGTCAAGGAAAGATAATACAGTTTTACTCCTTTTAAAATAATTTGTACCTCTTAACTCCCTCAACTAAATCTCCCCCCCCCCTCACCCCCGGACCAATCGCATATTATTTTAATTAAAAAAACCGAAACAAACTATCCTTTATTTTGCAATGTATTATTAGCGGTGGGGGGGGGGGCGGGATTCCACATGGCGTTCCATATATCCACCAATGCTTAGTGGAGCAACCACAAGTAGGCACACAGCACGGCACACAGTACGGTGGGTAACGAATGCGTTCTTTTGGCGTCTTTGGTGCATACGTGATCAGGCGCATGATTTATATAATAGATTAGTACGCATATCCGCTATTCGGATGCCAGCAGCCGCTATTCGGACCCGGGTTCCTTTAGACCAAATGCTATTCGGATGTCATTTGTGGTAATTTATTTTAGTTAAACTGGAGAAGTAAGTTTACAAACACATAGTCCATTCAATTATCTTTCATTTGATAGCTAATTTTGTCTTACAAACCCCGACAATAATATTTTAAATAGTTTTTTAAAAATCCCAACGTCTCACTTCTGGTACCCGGGTGCGAATAGTCGCAGCCTTTATTTATATATATATATATATATATATATATATATATATATATATATATATAAGAACGGGAGAGTGATTTATATATATATATATATATATATATATATATATATATATATATATATATATATATAAAAATACAGTGGAACCTCTCATAACGAGTAATTCGCATAACGAGGAAAAAAAAATGTGAAGAAGTTGCTCCCTTAACGAGCGACATTTCGCATAACGAGTTACGCAGAAAGGGGAAGTCCCTTTTTCACGACTTCATTTGTGAGCCCGGACTTCCGCGCCGATGCATTAGTCTGTGTTTAGCACTCATTAATCTGTGTTTAGCACTCGGTCTGTTAGCGTATTGTTTTCGTGTGTGATCACCATTTTTTTTTTTTACAAATTTTGTATTCAGACAGTATTCGCATTTTTTTAATGTGCAAAGTGTAAATAACCTGTGCTAAAATATGTTCGAAGAAAACACCACAAGAAGCCAATCATCCGAGAGAAAAAAAATAACTGTTGAAATGAAACGTGAAATCGTTGAAAAGCGAGAACAAGGTGTGAGCGTGGCTAATCTAAGCGCGCACATACAATCGGTCAACATCAACGATCTGCACTATTCTCAAGAACAAAAACAAAATTAAGGAGATGGATTCTTATAGGGAGGGTCAAGAATCTCTACGAAACGGTGACGTATTCTTGATGATGTTGTGAGGTTGCTTCTAATATGGAGAAACGAGAAGCGATTGCAAGGCGACACTATTAACGAAAACATAATTGGTGAGAAGGCGAAACTTACTTTCTCTGATACAATTTTCTAAATTGCATTCCAAGTTGTTACACTCCATAACAATTCATAATTAATTTTATTTGAATAAATGTTTATAAAATTTTTTGAAAAATGAGAATTTTTTCAGCATGGAACGCATTATCGTATTTGACATTAATTTGCATGGGAAACAGTGTTTCGTTTAACGAGTGTTTCGCTTAACGAGTAAGATTCTGGAGCGAATTATGCTCGTTATGAGAGGTTCCACTGATATATCTACATATATGATTCACCACTCCCCGTTGTTGCGTTATCCCAGCTAGTTTATAAATAAATTTAATATTGCTGTCAGTTGGAGAAAAATATTTTTTATTATAGTTGCTATTTTTAAAATGGCTACGCGCGGATCTCCAACAAGCACAGGGTCAAGGACGGACACCCAGTTTGCCCCCCCCCCTCCACCACCAACACCCATACTTTTTAAGTACCTGACCATACATCTGGATTAGGGAAGCTTGAGTTTAGGATTCCAAGAATTAAACATTTAGTACGAAGCAATCAATGTTAAGACAATGCGTGAGTGGGAATATGACTACACATTTCAGATGAAATTGATATGTAAATTGTCATGACTAATGACTTCCGGACCGCCACTGGTCAAGTAGTCATCTTAAAGTCAAACTTAATAACATCACAATACCCATCTCAATACCGTCTATATTCCCGTCACATTCCGTCACAATAACATCACAATACCCACCACAATACCTACCACAATACCTACCACAATACCATCACAATACCCTTCACATTCCGTCACAATACCCATCACTTTACCATCACAATAACATCACAATACCTATCATAAAATTATCCCCATATCTCTCACAATACCCCTCGCAAAACCATCACAATACCCACCACGATAGTATCACAATACCCACCACGATAGTATCACAATACCCACCACGATAGTATCACAATACCCACCACGATAGTATCACAATACCCACCACGATAGTATCACAATACCAATCCAAGCCGGTTACAACAATCAAAATTGTCTCATTAATCCGGAACCACCCCCTCCCCTCTTTCCCTCCCCTAAATCAGGTTGGAGTTGAAGCCGAAGTCAAACAGATGAACACAGACCAGGTGTAGATAGTTTAAGACAGATATGTCGTACATCGTTGCTAAAATAAGACATTCTTTTTTTCATCATTGTTAAAATAAGACATTCGTTGTACATCATTGCTAAAATCTGAAATTCTTTGTACATCATTGCTAAAATAAGACATTCTTTCTTCCTCATTGTTAAAATAAGACATTCGTTATGCATCATTGCTAAAATAAGACATTCTTTGTTCCAATTCATAACAAATGTAGTCAAACTGCAGTGTTGAAGAGAGGAATGGGGATCCCGCCCAACTTGCTAATCAATACAATGATGATACATGACAGTTGCCTTAAATCTCGTTGAACGTATCACTACAAGGAAAATACTTGAAAGTTGCCTTAAATTCTATTCGACTTATCAATACAATGATGAAACACGACAGGTTCCTTAATTCCTGTTAAACTTATCAATACAATGATGATTCTTGACAGTTGCCTTAATTCCTGTTAAACTTATCAATACAATGATGATACATGAAAGTTGCCTTAAATTCTATTCAACTTATCAATACAATGATGAAACATGACAGTTGCCCTAAATTCTGTCAAACGTATCAATACAATGATGATACATGACAGTTGCCTTAAATCCTGTCCAACTTACTTATCAATGCAATGGTCGTACATGACAGTTGCCTTAAATCCAATCACGCTGAATATGACGGTACAAGCAAAGATTGCAGTTGCCCAGTTGGTGATGCCAATGATGACCGCATCTTTCTGGACATCATTCTTCATCGGATTGTAGCTAGAGAAGGCAATCAGGCCTCCAAACGCCAAACCAAATGAGAAAAAAATCTGGGCAGCCGCGTCCAGCCAACAATTAACATCCAGCAACTGATCCATCTGGGAACAGAAAGAAAGAAACAGTTAACATTCAACAAATGATCCATCTGGTAACAGAAAGAAAAAACCAGTTAACATCCAACAACTGATCCATCTGGGAACAGACGGAATGAAACCATTAACATCCAGCAACTGATCCATCTGGAAACAATAAGAAAGAAACAACTTCCAGCAACTGATTCATCTGGGAAAAGAAAGAAATAAACAATTAACATCCAGCAACTGATCCACCTGGGAACAGAAAGAAAGAAACATTAAATAGTTCAGAAAAAATATGTTTATTTTTTATTTGAATTATTTCAACAATAGAAAGAGAAAAAAAAAACACGTTCTTATTTCCATTGGATATTTTTGATATTTCATGTAAGCATCACTTTCTGTTTGTATTGTGCATATTTGATAAGCATCACTTTCTGTTTGTATTGTGCATATTTGATAAGGATCACTTTCTGTTTGTATTGTGTATATTTGATAAGCATCACTTTCTGTTTGTATTGTGTATATTTGATAAATATAACTTTCTCTTTGTATTGTGTATATTTGATAAGCATCACTTTCTGTTTGTATTGTGTATATTTGATAAGTATCCCTTTCTGTTTGTATTGTGTATATTTGATAAGGATCACTTGCTGTTTGTATTGTGTATATTAGATAAGAATCACTTTCAGTTTGTATTGTGCATATTTGATAAGGATCACTTTCTGTTTGTATTGTGCATATTTGATAAGGATCACTTTCTGTTTGTATTGTGTATATTTGATAAGCATCACTTTCTGTTTGTATTGTGTATATTTGATAAATATAACTTTCTCTTTGTATTGTGTATATTTGATAAGCATCACTTTCTGTTTGTATTGTGTATATTTGATAAGTATCCCTTTCTGTTTGTATTGTGTATATTTGATAAGGATCACTTTCTGTTTGTATTGTGTATATTTGATAAGGATCACTTTCTGTTTGTATTGTGTATATTTGATAAGGATCACTTTCTGTTTGTATTGTGTATATTTGATAAGGTTCACTTTCTGTTTGTATTGTGCATATTTGATAAGGATCACTTTCTGTTTGTATTGTGTATATTTGATAAGCATCACTTTCTGTTTGTATTGTGTATATTTGATAAGCATCACTTTCTGTTTGTATTGTGTATATTTGATAAATATAACTTTCTCTTTGTATTGTGTATATTTGATAAGCATCACTTTCTGTTTGTATTGTGTATATTTGATAAGTATCCCTTTCTGTTTGTATTGTGTATATTTGATAAGGATCACTTTCTGTTTGTATTGTGTATATTTGATAAGGATCACTTTCTGTTTGTATTGTGTATATTTGATAAAGATCACTTTCTGTTTGTATTGTGTATATTTGATAAGGATCACTTTCTGATTTGTCTACTTCTTTGTTTACATTAAAATTTGTCTTGCTTCTCTATTTTCTATTGAAAATATCAATTAAGTTTGACTTGATGCTCCAACCTGATACCTCGTGACTGTCTGTGGGAACAGTATGCTGACGATTGTTCCAACCTGATACCTCGTGACTGTCTGTGGGAACAGTATGCTGACCATTGTGCTACCTCATACCTCGTGACTGTCTGTGGGAACAGTATGCTGACCATAGTTACCACCTCATACCTCGTGACTGTCTGTGGGAACAGTATGCTGACCATAGTTACCACCTCATACCTCGTGACTGTCTGTGGGAACAGTATGCTGACCATTGTTCCCGCCTGATACGCTTTGTCTGTCAGAGGGAAAAGTCTGCTGACCTGTCGTCTCCCCCCCCCTCCCGGTTACCTTGTGCCTATCTGAGTGAACAGTCTTGAAGGTCATGTCTCTATTCAGTAGCTCATTTTTTGTTGTTCATAATTTAAGATGACATATATATATATTTATATATATATATATATATATATATATATATATATATAGATATAATATAGATATATAGATATATATAGATATATATGTATAAATATAAATTTATATATAAATTCTTAAAAATTAAATAAAAAGAACAACTCTAATGGCACAGTCTTACCTTTGGTGTAAACATATGAACCAAACCATGCACCGCGCCTTCTAATGTTATGCCCCGAACGAAGAAGATGATGAGAACAATATAAGGGAATGTTGCAGTGAAATATACAACCTGGAAAACAATAATGAACATGTGCATTATGGAGCAAAAAAAAAAAATGTAATAAAATTATCAATCCTTAACCTTTATGTGTAAATAATCATTATTTTGTCGCCAAGGAGCAACAAGTAGCCACACGGCTTTTAAGCCCTTATACTTTGATTTGACTGAGACACTACTGGGGCGTGACACGAGGGAATCTATCAAACGGGTTTGTTATAATCACGACTAAAAAGAATGGAGTTTTCGATTAGTAACAAACATTGAATTGATGGCCAAGTGTTCTTGAATCACCCTGTCCTGTGTCTCTCACGATACTTAGTTTTAAGACGTTAAAAATCTCTGATAAAACTTTTAAAAAAATCTACATTCAAAAATTGAGAATGTTTGGGGAAAAAGTGAAATTTTTAAAACTTAAAATTTGATCTTAAATTCTATACATGAATTTTTTTGCTGTTGTAGAAGAGATCTTTGTTTGTCATATGATAAATATGTCTTTGATTTTTAAAGAGAGCGATACAAAATCTGTAACTCTTTCTTATGTACACATTCAACTTTTACGTTGATATGGCCATAGAGAATAAACAAATAAATCTACTACTTTGATTTCTGTTTTTTTTTTTAGTTGTTTTGTTCGCTGACGAAGGCTTTCTGCCGACACGTTCATTGTTTTGTTGCGTTCCTTTTTTTTTCAGGTTTAACCCTACTTGGTTTTACTCATTTGATTTACTACTTTGATGGACTCACTTTTCCCGAAGACTTGATGCCCTTGCAGATACAAAGAAAGACGACGATCCAAGATAAGATATGACACAACAGTATCTTCCACTTGATGCCACCGATGTCACCGATGCCCGGTGAGATGTCCAGCGCCCGTCTGTACCAGAAGTAGGACGATGGGCCACTTAGCTCACATTCCTCCACCACAACAGTTCGGTTGTCACGTGACGTGTAGGTGGGGCACTCTGACCAGGGAAGTGGACTCTGGTGACGGAAAGATACGTTTTATATTACAGACATGTTTTATATTACAGACATGTTTTATATTACAGACATGTTTTATATTACAGACATGTTTTATATTACAAAATACAGACATGTTTTATTATCTCAGGTAAAAACTAGAATATATGACCGGGTCTCACCGGGGTAATAATGGAAGGCTTTTTGCGCTCTTTCTCCTTTTCCCGTTTTGAAACATTTCAATAGTGCTAACCATAATGGAATATTGGGCATTGCAGTTACTGGTATAATGCAATCAAGTAATACACCTGATAGAATTTACATGGAAATTAAATTAATTTAAACGATTGTGTAAGTTCATAATTTTACATAGCTGCAATGTTTTATTTTTCCTGTTTAGCTTTCAAAAATTTACTTTCACCCATTTTCTTTCCATACTTCTGATATTTGTTTTTATTAGGAAATTGTATCCAGTCTCATTCTTTTCTTTTGTTTCATTTATGTAGAATGTGTGGACATATATTTATATTTAATGTCAATTTAATTAATAGGATTCTTTTTGTTTTAGGGATTGAGAGACATTTTCCAAAATGTTTGCATTTCTATTCTCTTGAATCGTATTTAAAGCTTAACCTAATAGTGGGTTATTTACACAACAATTGTGTCTCATTTAATCTAATTATAAAGCTGTATCGCAGTCCATCTCTTTTTTCTTCCATGGCTGAATTTTGCACAAAGTGGAAAAAGAATATCTTCTTAATCTTATTTTTTTCCAGAAAATCTTAACCTAGTCATTCCCCTCGCCCCCTCTTCCCCCTTTTTTCTCCACATTCAAACAGGGTGAATGTTATTTTGGCCAGACAAACATTTGACCGCCATGCCAGTGTGTATGGTCAAAGAGAGAGAGACCCCCCCCGGCCACCTGTATTTTCGAAAAAAAAAAATTATGATTGTGTTTTTAAAAAGAGAACATTGTCCTCTATCAAATTAATTAGGGTTTTTAAAAGTATTTTATAGAAATTAAAAATTTACCTCTTTCTCTCTCTCCCACTTTCTCTCCCTTTTCTCTCTTTCACTCGTTCTTTCTCACTATTTCTCTTTCTCTGGCTCTTTCCCCCTCTTTCTTTTACTCTTTCTCTCTCGTTCTTTCTAATCTTTCTCTCTCTCTTTCTCTCCCTCTTTCTCCCCCCCCCTCTCTCATCCTCTTTTTCTCTCGCTCTCTTTCGAACTTAAAATGTATATTAACGAAATGTTTACCATAAATTATTTCATAAAAGGATATTGTTATCCTCAAAATTACATAAAGGGGTGGAACAGGTAAAAGATCAACTTACCTGGAAGGAGTGGAATAGGTTAAAGATCAACTTACCTGGAAGGAGTGGAATAGGTTAAAGACCCACTTCCTGGAAGGAGTGGAATATGTTAAAGATCAACTTACCTGGAAGGAATGGAATAGGTTAAAGATCAACTTACCTGGAAGGAGTGGAATAGGTTAAAGATCAACTTACCTGGAAGGAGTGGAATAAGTTAAAGATCAACTTACCTGGAAGGAGTGGAATAGGTTAAAGATCAACTTACCTGGAAGGAGTGGAATAGGTTAAAGATCAACTTACCTGGAAGGAGTGGAATAGGTTAAAGATCAACTTACCTGGAAGGAGTGGAATAGGTTAATGATCAACTTACCTGGAAGGAGTGGAACAGGTAAAAGAAACACCACATTATGATAGCGTTGTAGTAGATGGCGATGAGGAAAGATGTAACCACAGAGGCCAGCCCCAGACCGCCGATTAATGGGTGGACCTCATTCCAGACCCCGACACACCCCATGCGCAGGCGCTGGCCAATGGCCAGTTCAAGGTACAGGAGAGGCATGCCCTCCACAAACAGCATGATGAGGTACGGTAACAGGAAGGCACCTGCAAGGAAGAGGTATCACGTGGTGTAACAGCCCCATTTATGTAACATTCGTATTGCTTGGCTACTACATCGTGAGACATACCGTACTCAACATTATGCAATAGAACATACCGTACTCAACATTATACAATAGAACATACCGTACTCAACATTATACAATAGAACATACCGTACTCAACATTATACAATAGAACATACCGTACTCAACATTATGCAATGGAACATACCGTACTTAACATTATACAATAGAACATACCGTACTCAACATTATACAATAGAACATACCGTACTTAACATTATACAATAGAACATACCGTAGTCAACATTATACAATAGAACATACCGTACTCAACATTATAAAATAGAACATACCGTACTCAACATTATACAATAGAACATACCGTACTCAACATTATAAAATGGAACATACCGTACTGAACATTATACAATGGAACATACCGTACTCAACATTATACAATGGAACATACCTACTTAACATTATACAATAGAACATACCGTACTCAACATTATACAATGGAACATACCGTACTCAACATTATAAAATGGAACATACCGTACTTAACATTGTACAATAGAACATACCGTACTCAACATTATACAATAGAACATACCGTACTCAACATTATACAATGGAACATACCGTACTTAACATTATACAATGGAACATACTATACTTAACATTATACAATGGAACATACCGTACTCAACATTATACAATGGAACATACCGTACTTAACATTATACAATAGAAAATACCGTACTTAACATTATACAATGGAACATACCGTACTTAACATTATACAATAGAACATACCATACTCAACATTATAAAATGGAACATACCGTACTTAACATTATACAATAGAACATACCGTACTCAACATTATACAATAGAACATACCGTACTCAACATTATACAATGGAACATACCGTACTTAACATTATACAATGGAACATACCGTACTCAACATTATACAATGGAACATACCGTACTTAACATTATACAATAGAACATACCGTACTCACCATTATACAATGGATCATACCGTACTTAACATTATACAACAGAACATACCTTACTCAACATTATAAAATGGAACATACCGTACTCAACATTATACAATAGAACATACCGTACTCAACATTATACAATGGAACATACCGTACTCAACATTATACAATGGAACATACCGTACTCAACATTATACAATAGAACATACTGTACTCAACATTATACAATAGAACATACCATACTGAACATTATACAATGGAACATACCGTACTCAACATTATACAATGGAACATACCGTACTTAACATTATACAATGGAGCATACCATACTCACCATTATACAATGGAACATACCGTACTCAACATTATACAATGGAACATACCGTACTTAACATTATAAAATAGAACATACCGTACTTAACATTATAAAATAGAACATACCATACTTAACATTTTAAAATAGAACATACCGTACTTAACATTATAAAATAGAACATACCGTACTTAACATTTTAAAATAGAACATACCGTACTTAACATTATAAAATAGAACATACCGTACTTAACATTATACAATGGAACATACCGTACTTAAAATTATAAAATAGAACATACCGTACTTAACATTATACAATGGAACATACCGTACTTAACATTATAAAATAGAACATACCGTACTTAACATTATAAAATAGAACATACCGTACTTAACATTATAAAATAGAACATACCATACTTAACATAATGTGATGGGACATAATAATAATTAGTGGTCTTTTATAGCGCGGTATCCCAGCCTAGGGCTGGGCTCACCGCGCTGTAGATAAAAATATTATCAAAAGAGACATTAAAATAAAATACATTTATGAAATAAAGAACAGCAATGTATATTCACCCACCCCATCAAATAACTTTTACAAGGCAACACATGGACGGCAGCCAACAAGATCATTTATCGGTCAGAGGAGGGGAATCAGTCAGGGTAGTAGAGTTTAAAGAGATATGTTTTTAGTGCAGTTTTGAAGGCCTGGGTGGTTGGTATATTGCGGATGTGTAGTGGCAAAAAATTCCATTGTTTGGGGGCGCAGAAACATACCACACTTAACATTATAAAATGTAGCATACCCTACTTAACCTTATACGATGGCACATACTGTTCTGAACATTATAATATGGAACATGCCATACTTAACACTATAAACACGGACATACCGTACGTAACATTATACGATGGAACGTACTGTACTTTTAATGTAACTCTTGTGGAATTTCCTTGATTGAATGTATTTAAAACAACACGACATTCAAGAAATGATTTAAATAAAGTTAACACTACAACAGTTCTAAAAAACAATAATTTAAAATCATTAGATTTTACGGCTATATATTTCAATCACAAGAAAGCCAATTATTAGGTATGACAAGAAACCAGGTAAAACATATGACAAGAAACCAGTTAAAAGATATGACAAGAAACCAGGTAAAAGATATGACAAGAAACCAGGTAAAAGATATGACAAGAAACCAGGTAAAAGATATGACAAGAAACCAGGTAAAAGATATGACAAGAAACCAGGTAAAAGATATGACAAGAAACCAGGTAAAAGATATGACAAGAAACCAGGTAAAAGATATGACAAGAAACCAGGTAAAAGATATGACAAGAAACCAGGTAAAAGATATGACAAGAAACCAGGTAAAAGATATGACAAGAAACCAGGTAAAAGATATGACAAGAAACCAGGTAAAAGATATGACAAGAAACCAGGTAAAAGATATGACAAGAAACCAGGTAAAAGATATGACAAGAAACCAGGTAAAAGATATGACAAGAAACCAGGTAAAAGATATGACAAGAAACCAGGTAAAAGATATGACAAGAAACCAGGTAAAAGATATGACAAGAAACCAGGTAAAAGATATGACAAGAAACCAGGTAAAAGATATGACAAGAAACCAGGTAAAAGATATGACAAGAAACCAGGTAAAAGATATGACAAGAAACCAGGTAAAAGATATGACAAGAAACCAGGTAAAAGATATGACAAGAAACCAGGTAAAAGATATGACAAGAAACCAGGTAAAAGATATGACAAGAAACCAGGTAAAAGATATGACAAGAAACCAGGTAAAAGATATGACAAGAAACCAGGTAAAAGATATGACAAGAAACCAGGTAAAAGATATGACAAGAAACCAGGTAAAAGATATGACAAGAAACCAGGTAAAAGATATGACAAGAAACCAGGTAAAAGATATGACAAGAAACCAGGTAAAAGATATGACAAGAAACCAGGTAAAAGATATGACAAGAAACCAGGTAAAAGATATGACAAGAAACCAGGTAAAAGATATGACAAGAAACCAGGTAAAAGATATGACAAGAAACCAGGTAAAAGATATGACAAGAAACCAGGTAAAAGATATGACAAGAAACCAGGTAAAAGATATGACAAGAAACCAGATAAAAGATATGACAAGAAACCAGGTAAAAGATATGTCACGACAAAAGGGTTGGGTCTTATTGAAGTTATGATAATTGTGAAATATTACTTGGACAACCCCGGGTGGAGCGGGGGTCTCTCATAATTATCAAATAATGGGTATCGCCCCATCGGGGCAACTAACCTTTTGTCGGTAATCTGGGCTAAAATTTCTCAAAACATTTCTTTACCAACTTAAAATTTTCCATTTAGTTTACAGTCTGATTCTACAATTTGCATTCATCAGTCTATATTCTACATTCTAAAGTCTACATTCTCTAGTTTATATTCTACAGTCAACATTCTACAGACTACAGAATAATTCTACATTCTACAGTTTACATTCTACAGTCTACATTCTTTAGTCTACATTCTACAGTCTACATTCTACAGTCTACATTCTACAGTCTAACATTCTACAATTTACATTCTACAATCTACATTCTACAGACTACATTTTGATTCTATAGTCTACATTTTACAGTCTACATTCCATAGTCTACATTCTGAAGTGTACATTTTCCAGTCTATATTTTACAGTCTACATTCTACAGACTACATTCTACAGACTACATTCTACAGACTACAGTCTACACACTACAGTCTAAATCAACAGTCTACATTCTACAGACTAAATTGTAAAGTCTACAGACTACAGTCTTATTCTATAGTCTAATTTCTACAGTCTAAATTCTACAGTCTACATTCTACAGTCTACATTCTACAGTCTACATTCTTAAGTTTTTATTCTACAGTCTACATTCTACAGACTACAGTCTAATTCTACAGTCTACATTTTACAGACTATAGAATAATTTTATAATCTACATTCTACAGTCTACATTCTACAATCTACATTCTACAGTCTACATTGTTAATTCTACATTATATAGTATGAATTCTACATTATATAAACTTGATTCTGCAGTCTAGGTTCTAAAATCTACATTCTACAGTATAAGTACAGTGAACATTCTACATTCTGCATTATACAGTCTTCATTCTAAAGTCAACATTCTACATTCTACACGCCATAGTCTACATTCTACAATCTACATTTTACATTCGATATTGAAATCTCACTTAAAAGGTTCTTTAACCTTTGTTTAACTGAATTATTCAACTTTTCAACCTGACAAAGTCTACTCAAGTTATTAACAGTGTCTCTTTTTATCTACCTCAGTTTTATCCCAGGGCAATCCCTTTTTTCCCCCTTGCTCATTGCATTTTTCCCCTAAAAATGCCTTTCTTAAGAAATTAATAAATCAACTTCTCCCAATGACCAGATTTTTTTATTCGTCCAACCAAATCCAATTTCCTGCAACTCATTGGTTGAAATGATACTATAAAACAAGCAACCAACCTTACAAACAATAAAAACACAACACAACACAACGCAACTCAACACAACAAAAACACAACACAACACAAGCATGTTATATGAATAAGAAATTCAAAAGATAGTCAAGTGATTTGAAATATGCGACACAATGAGAGCAATGAACCTTACAACAAAATTTATCTTATGTTAAAACTATAAACTATTATTTTCTATCGGACTCCAGGTATACAAGTTATTTTCCAATGGCTTCCAGGTACAGAATTGGCTATGCGTGGTCATTTATTCAATCAGAGGCCAGGCTAATAATGCAATAACAGATATTGATTGATGTCACAGATGCGCGTTCACAGGCGTCCCGTAACCTTTGACATAGAAAGTCAAGACGGTCGGTCAGGCGACTGGAGGACACGACTGTCCGCTTAGACCACAAGAGTCGTCTGCTTTCGGTCACTGCCCTGCTCAACCATGACGTCCTGTTTGACAGTCAGTCAAGTGCCCTGCTATTCTTTGGGCGACCGTTTCATTCACAGACTGTTGTAGATCCACTCGTCGCCTACTAAAACGACTATTAAGAAAGCCTGACGTGGGATGGTTTCATTAGTATGTGATGTGCTCTAATGGGGGGAGTGTTTCATTAGTATGTGATGTGCTCTAATGACAACAACTTCCGCCAATGAGCGAGATAAGCTGGCGTGTGCACACTTGGGTGATGGTGTGATGGACGACAGCCAGGCAGACGTTTCATTAAACGAAAAAAAAAAGGTCACACCGAATGTCGGGACACCTGACGGTCCGTTCAAATCGCCATTTTTAAAAAGCAATATTTGTATATTACGTCATAGAAGAAGCTAACAAGGGGAGGGGGAATGGGGAAAAATATAACACTTAATAAAGCATCTTAGCGGGTAGCCGTGGCAGGGTAGCCGTGGCAGGATAGTCAGAGCAGGGTAGCCATGGCAGGGTAGTCAGAGCAGGGTAGCCATGGCAGGGTAGTCAGAGCAGGGTAGCCATGGCAGGGTAGTCAGAGCAGGGTAGCCATGGCAGGGTAGTCAGAGCAGGGTAGCCATGGCAAGGTAGTCAGAGCAGGGCAGTCAGAGCAGGGTAGCCATGGAGGGTAGTCAGAGAAGGGTAGCCATTGCAGGGTAGTCAGAGAAGGGTAGCCATGGCAAGGTAGTCAGAGCAGGGTAGCCATGGCAGTCAGAGCAGGGTAGCCATGGAAGGGTAGTCAGAGCAGGGTAGCCATGGCAGGGTAGTCAGAGAAGGGTAGCCATGGCAGGGTAGTCAGAGGAGGGTAGCCATGGCAGGGTAGTCAGAGCAGGGTAGCCATGGCAGGGTAGCTATAACAGGAGCCCAACTAAATGAAATATATTAGCGGATAAGCCATAGCAGACGCCTACTCAATGAAATTCCTGAACACCCATCTCTATGATGATGTACAACAACACCCATCTCTATGATGATGTACAACAACACCCATCTCTATGATGATGTACAACAACACCCATCTCTATGATGATGTACAACAACACCCATCTCTATGATGATGTACAACAACATCCATCTCTATGATGATGTACAACAACACCCAACTCTATGATGATGTACAACAACATCCATCTCTATGATAATGTACAACAACATCCATCTCTATGATGATGTACAACAACACCCATCTCTATGATGATGTACATCAACATCCATCTCTATGATGATGTACAACAACACCCATCTCTATGATGATGTACAACAACACCCATCTCTATGATGATGTACAACAACATCCATCTCTATGATGATGTACAACAACACCCATCTCTATGATGATGTACAACAACACCCATCTCTATGATGATGTACAACAACACCCATCTCTATGATGATGTACAACAACATCCATCTCTATGATAATGTACAACAACATCCATCTCTATGATGATGTACAACAACACCCATCTCTATGATGATGTACATCAACATCCATCTCTATGATGATGTACAACAACACCCATCTCTATGATGATGTACAACAACATCCATCTCTATGATGATGTACAACAACACCCATCTCTATGATGATGTACAACAACATCCATCTCTATGATGATGTACAACAACAACCATCTCTATGATGATGTACAAACACACCCATCTCTATGATGAGGTACAAACACACCCATCTCTATGATTAGGTACAAACACACCCATCTCTATGATTAGGTACAAACACACCCATCTCTATGATTAGGTACAAACACACCCATCTCTATGATTAGGTACAAACACACCCATCTCTATGATTAGGTACAAACACACCCATCTCTATGATTAGGTACAAACACACCCATCTCTATGATTAGGTACAAACACACCCATCTCTATGATTAGGTACAAACACACCCATCTCTATCATTAGGTACAAACACACCCATCTCAATGATGAGGTACAAACACACCCATCTCTATGATTAGGTACAAACACACCCATCTCTATGATTAGGTACAAACACACCCATCTCTATGATTAGGTACAAATCACCCATCGCTTAGGTGAGATACAACAACACCCATCTCTATGATTAGGTACAAACACACCCATCTCTATGATTAGGTACAAATCACCCATCGCTTAGGTGAGATACAACAACACCCATCTCTATGATTAGGTACAACATCTATCACTATGATGAGGTACAACAACACCCATGTCTATGATGGGTACAACAATAACAGCCTCTAAGTCAGGACTATGTTACAAGCCGTCTCATCTCATCACCCAATGACAGTGGACCACAAAAGTCTTCTTGTTGTATAATGACAACACAACCACTAACACAATCGCCATTGACTCCCCCCCCCCTCCCACAGTCAAAAGCACATTAACAAATACAATTGTTTTTTTTTTTTAAGTGTTCAAACTTTATAAAGACACCGAATGAAAATTTCAATGAATATACAGAATTCATTTTTTCAGTGGATTGCTTCAATCGGTGACCCACAGAGAATCCCCAACGATCGCCGTAGGGGTGGCAGACAATGGGTTGGGAACCAGGGCTTGAGGTGCATAGTGAGTTGAGAGCTGAGACAATGGTGAACGTAATCCTGCTAAGCGGATTAGTGGAGCATAATCCATGTCAAGGAGATGTAATGGTTTCCCTTTTAATATGGGAACACACACAAGCTTAGTTTGAATGAAGAGACAAATTAATGACTTGATCATGAGGTAGCTACAGAAATGACTTCTCTGTGAGGTAGCCACAGGAATGACTTGATCGGGAGGTAGCTACAGAAATTACTTGTTTCAGAGGTAGCCACAGGAATGACTTGATCGTGTGTAGCTACAAGAATGACTTGTTTTTGAGGTAGCTACAGGAATGACTTGTTTGTGAGGTAGCTACAGGAATGACTTGTTTGTGAGGTAGCTACAGGAATGACTTGTTTGTCAGGTAGCCACAGGAATGACTTGATCGTGAGGTAGCCACAGGAATGACTTATGTGAGGTAGCCACAGGAATGACTTGTTTGTGAGGTAGCTATAGGAATGACTTGATCGTGAGGTAGCCACAGGAATGACTTGTTTGTGAGGTAGCCACAGGAATGACTTGTTTGTGAGGTAGACACAGGAATGACTTGTTTGTGAGGTAGCCACAGGAATGACTTGTTTGTGAGGTAGTCACAGGAATGACTTCATTGTGTGGTAGCCACTGGAATGACTTGATTATGAGGTTGCTTCAATAATGACTTGTTTGTGAGGTTGCCACAGGAATGACTTGTTTGTGAGGTAGCCACATGATTGACTTGTTTGTGTGGTAGCCACTGGAGTGACTTGATTATGAGGTAGCTTCAATAATGACTTGTTTGTGAGGTAGCAACAGGAATGACTTGATTGTGTGGTAGCCACAAGAATGACTTGATTTTGAGGTAGCTACAGAAAGGAAGCGTATGCGTCCCCTACAGAAATGCCTTGTATGTGCAGTACCTTGTTTGTGCAGTACCTTGTATGTGCAGTACCTTGTATGTGCAGTACCTACAGAAATACATTTATTTTAGTACACACATACAGCACCTGTATCTGCAGAATCCAGTACACACGTGTTTTGGCTAGATCAAGTCACTATGCGTGTTCGTCTCATTAGCAATGACGTCACGCATTCAATATTTGATTCTACGCCATTGTTTTGCTGTGACTCTACTCTTCAAAACAGTGACGCCATATTTCAATACTCTTACACTGTCAGGGTAAACCCTCGCCCCATCCCCACACTCACTCACACACACACACAAACACACACACACACACTTTAACAAGAAATCGAATTTTCCCGGAGAAGCAGCAATAACCTTTTAAAAAGAAATTACGATTGAAATATCCAAATTAAATTTTTAAAAATGAAACTCATCTGTAAGCCAATATTATTATGATGAAAAAGATCGAGTAGAAACCCGGATGTAGCTAGGATAGATTGAAGAATGGCAGAAGAGGTTGCTCGAGTTCTGTCCATCTCCACGGCGCCGGTGACATCCTTGGGTTACTTCCTGTCTCAGATTTAAACTTAATTGCTTCCCATCTTATTGTCTGGCAAAACTATTTCTCGGGTATTTCAGAAAATAAAAAATCTGTTAGCTTCCGAACATCAAGTTTGAAAAACAAAGTTTCTTTTAAATATCAAAGGTCAAGTAATTGATCTAAGAGTACCATGCAGTGGAGGAGCTAAGAGTACCATGCAGTGGAGGAGCTAAGAGTACCATGCAGTGGAGGAGCTAAGAGTACCATGCAGTGGAGGAGCTAAGTGTCCAATGTAGTGGATGATCTAAGAGCACCATGCAGTGGAGGAGCTAAGAGTACCATACAGTTGAGGAGCTAAGAGTACCATGCAGTGGAGGAGCTTAGAGTACCATGGAGTGGAGGAGCTAAGATTACCATGCAGTGGAGGAGCTAAGAGCACCTTGCAGTGGAGGAGCTAAGAGTACTTTGCAGTGGAGGAGCTAAGAGCACCATGGAGTGGAGGAGCTAAGATTACCATGCAGTGTAGGAGCTAAGAGTACCATGCAGTGGAGGAGCTAAGAGCACCATGCAGTGGAGGAGCTAAGAGTACCATGCAGTGGAGGAGCTAAGAGCAACATGCAGTGGAGGAGCTAAGAGTAACATGCAGTGGAGGAGCTTAGAGTACCATGGAGTGGAGGAGCTAAGATTACCATGCAGTGTAGGAGCTAATAGTACCATGCAGTGGAAGAGCTAAGAGCAACATACAGTGGATGAGCTAAGAGTATCATGCAGTGGAGGAGCTGGAGTTTTTGAAGCCTGGGGCGCTCCCTGATATTGCCGCCCCCAATTAACGAGAACCACCGTGCACAACGAATACAGTAGCAGAAGGCATCATGTCTGTCAGTGCCAGACGTCATGTCATTATGTAACTAGGGTGACCCAGTGGCGTAGCTAATGTTGGTGACACCCGGTGCGGTACACTCAACCCCGCTCCACCCCACTCCACCCCGCTCCACCCCACGTCCCCGATGGATTTCTTCTTGTTAAAATAAGTCAGTCCCCGGTATAACAATGACAAGAACAAAAACAAATTAATTGAAGGTCAAAAGGTCACTGTATTTAAGAATCTCTAACAATGTTAAGTTATAGTTATTTTTACATTAACTTTATTTTATTTAAATTTTCCCTCCCAGGCCTTCAAAGCTGCAAACCTGTCAATCCCTTGATCAATAACACCCACCGTATCACTTTTCATTGATAGCAGAGCCAGAGAAGGAAGCTTTGGACTTTGGCTGTCCCGTTAGGGACCGTAGATAGTTCTGACATTCTCTTCTTAAACCTTAATCTTCTCTTTACCGAAATTCATTACTGGTCTGATTTTAAAGGTACCTTTTCAATAGCATGTCCCATCAAGTGACAGCGCTTCTGGTGTAGAAACAGTGTTAAGGCCACTAGGTTGGTCACCGCTTTGTCAAGGGTAAATTCTTTAGTCTACAGATACTGCTGTGTAAGATTAACTTCCTCAAGTAGATCAGCTCGAAGGTGAAGGTAGCAGATAAACGTGAAATTACAGACAGCATGTAAAAGACTCTGTGGTGTAAGACAATCATGCTCAAATATTAAGGGGCGGAACCAGTGACGAATCGGCGAGAAAATATTTATTTTTGAGTATTGTGGAGTGTTCAGACCTGGGAGGTACAGGGGTTGGGGGGGGGGGAGGGGAATCCCAAGGCATGGTAACCGACCAACTGACCAAATCGCTCTAGCGTATCAGATCCCACAGCACGGTAACCGACCAACTGACCAAATCGTTCTAGCGTATCAGATCCCACAGCACGGTAACTGACCAACTGACCAATGGTTCTAACGTATCAGATCCCACAGCACGGTAACCGACCAACTGACCAAATCGTTCTAGCGTATCAGATCCCACAGCACGGTAACTGACCAACTGACCAATGGTTCTAACGTATCAGATCCCACAGCATGGTAACCGACCAACTGACCAAATCGCTCTAGCGTATCAGATTGCACCGGGGTGACTGCTACGGTGCTGGTTTACGCCCATTGAGACGGAGATAGAATTTAAGTGCCTGAGATGTAGGAATACGATTAAAGCCCTGGGAAGGAATCTCTAGGAACCCGGGACTTATAAAAAGGGACCCGTTGGACAGGACTCGGCCGGACAGGAAAGCGGACAGTCAGGGAGAGCTCCGATGGATAGGAGTAGAGGACAGTCGTTTGGACACAGAGGACAGAGAGACGAACCGAAGACAGTCAGAGTTGAGTGCGAGATGAGAGAAAGCCAAATCGAAGTAGCAGATCGATAAATAAGCAAAGACTATAACCAGCGTTGAGTTGTCTGATTGGTGAAATATGAGTGGCATTTGAAGCAGGTGTTACCATCCAAACAACGGATAGAGAACCAAAGTAGGACATAGACGGTCACGGTACTCTACAGGATTCGAACAACGGATAGAGAACTAAAGTAGGACATAGACGGTCACGGTACTCTACAGGATTCGAACAACGGATAGAGAACTAAAGTAGAGACGAGACGGTCACGGTACTCTACAGGATTCGAACAACGGATAGAGAACTAAAGTAGAGACGAGACGTTCACGGTACTCTACAAGATTTCTGGGTTTTGATTTAAATGGTTTCAAGAAATTTTGAAAAAAGAATTAAATAAAAGTAAATTAATTATTTAAACACTAGAATAAATGACCCGATGTTATCGGGATAATAATGGTAGATCCTTTGCGATACTTTCTAACTGCAATTGCAAAGACTCATCCCAATTCATAACTTTAAAAATGTAATGATATTTACGTTTCTAACATCATTAAGTTTTGAGAAGTATTTATCTGCTATATATTATAGGCCTACCCTACTCCCTTTAAGCTCCTAAACTACTCCCCCCACCCTCTAAACATGAACTTAAATTAAACAGTCTAAATTATCACTAATTATTTCACTTTTGTCACTAAAGAAGTTAATTGAGGGACAATTACTACGTAAGAGAAATACTTTAGATTTAACCCTTTTCGTGCCCTTGAATTACAACTTTTTTTCTATAAAAATAGTTTTAAACAATTGCCTTAAATTTACACCAAAAACTCTATATATGATATAAAAATATTTTATATTATACGAATTAGATATATATTGATATCTTCAGCAAAAAAGTAAACACATTTTTGCTTGTTAAAAAAAATTATATATTATGAGAAAATCGTATTACAACCAATTCTTTGATCTAAAGAAGAATCTCGCAACCGTTTTTCACGTCTAGAACAGATGCGAGTGTTGTTGTTGTTTTAAACATTGAAATGGTTAATCTCATAAAATACAAATCTCTTTGCTTTTTGTAAAGTTAAAACACAAATATATTTTAATTTTTTGAAAGCAAATATTAACCCATCTCTATTTTTCAAAATAAAATTTTCAAGTGTGTAAAATGATTGGGTTTTGATATTCATGGGTGTAATTATATAAATTTACCCAAGATTTGTTAACGTCGTTGATCTTCTTCATTGGTTAACATACGTATATTTGTAAGAAGAGAGAGAGATGAACATCTGTTTTTTCACATATGTAATACCATAGGAGTTAACTATGTTGTCATCCACGTAAAAATGTACACATCCTATTTTCTTCCTCCGAAATGTATGCACTCAAGGAGGCTATTTATTTATCAAATTCATTCCTTTATTTTGAGACGTGTCTTGTGTTGCCTGGGGCAAAGTAACCAATCCCTCCCCCACCCAGATTTAAATAAATTTAGAAAATCTTCCACCGGATTGTAGTCCCTTCCATACCCAAGCTAAAATAATTTACACTTCATATGGTTCGTTCTTATTTGTTTTAGTTATAAGTTGATTAGTCAATGCTATTTGGCTATGGAGCTGCGCTGCACTGTTGGACTTAAACTGCATTTTCTTATTAGAATTATATTTAAAGGTTAGTTTTTATTAAGTTATAATTTTAATAAATGTATATTTTTGGAATAAAGAAAGGCAAAACTTTTTAATGTTAATATACACAGCAGAAATGTGTGTGTGTTTTACTAACAGTTTAGAAAGAAATCAATTATATTTATTAATTTTACTTTTAAGAAGAGAAAATACATTATCATTTTTGTAACTCGCGGTTATTAAATTTAAAGAAATCTAAGAATTTTGGAGAAATACGCTATTTGCACTATGACGTCATTTGCTTGATTATTTAGAACAAATTAATTTAAACATTTATTTCGCAATGTTAATAGCGCACTAAAAGACGCACTAAAAACGACTGATGTTTGGGTTTTCCCGATAAATGTGATTACGGTGTAATTCTTTGATCATGATTTTTTAAGTTATTTTAGTTTTTCATAAACACATATAAAATGCTTAAAATAGTTCATTAGTTATACTTTTATTGTATTGGTAATTTATATTAATATTGCTAAAACGTTTTCTAAAATAAAAGTGGATTTAAAATATTTTTTGCGCATTTAGATTTATTCGATTTCCGTAAAATATTAGAAAATAACTATAATTGTTTTTTAGGAATACGAACGTACTTAAATTAAATCTTTTCTGCTCTTTTGAGTTATATCAGTATAGCTCATTCTTATATATATATATATACACACACACATATATATATATATATATATATATATATATATATATATATATATATATTTTAAAAATAAATATAATTGTTTTTTAGGAATACGAACGTACTTAAATTATATCTTTTCTGCTCTTTTGAGTTATATCAGTATAGCTCATTCTTATATATATATATATACACACACACATATATATATATATATATATATATATATATATATATATATAAATTTTGTAAACTGTTATTTTACCAGGTAAAAAGTCATTTTTAAAAATGCTTCAAATTTTTACCGATTCGATTCATGTACTTAGAATCGCTCGACCACATCTTATTTGGTATGAATAAAAATCATTGTTTCTCAGAAATTAGATCAACATAGCTTACGAAAAATAAATCCTTTATTGAATTAGAAGACGCAACTCTACAAGCAGTGTTGGAAGTTAACAACCAAAAAACAAAATACATGACGATGATAAGAGAAGAACAAACAGATGAAGCAATTAAAATTAGAAACCAGACTTTTGAAAAAAGTAAATCAATTCAAATATCTAGGATCTTTGTTAAATGAAAGAAACGAATTACTAACAGAAATAAAAGAAAGAATATCAGCCGGAAACAGGCATACTTCAGTAGTCAGAAAATACTCAAAAGTAAAAACATTACAAGAGAAACAAAGAAGACTACTAATAAAACTGTGATCAGACCAGTTGTAACATATGCAAGTGAAACTTGGACCCTAACAAAAACAGCAGAAAACCCATTAAACACATGGGAGAAGAAAGTTGTCAGGAAAATATATGGGCCAACAAAGGATGAATATGGATTGGAGAATACGAACCAACCATGAATTATACAGTCTATATCAGGAACCCACGATGGTAGCAGAAATAAAAAGAGACAGGCTATGCTGGGCAGGACACCTAGAGAGAAAGCCAATTGACAGAGGAACGAAGAGGGTGCATCACCAATACCCCGGAGGAAAAAGGCTCATAGGCAGACCTGGGCTTAGGTGGATAGATGATGTAGAAAAAGATCTACAGCAGCTGAAAGTACAAGCATTGAAAAGAAAGGCATTAGTTAGGTCTGAGTGGAAGGAAGTGGTAAGATAGGCCAAAGCCCTTTATGGGATGTAGCGCCACAGGGATGGATTAAGAAAGCTACCGAAGAGTTCAAGTGGCGTTAGATGGTGGCAGAAAAGGAGTTTTTCTGACCTAATTATAGGGTAACCTTATGTCTGATGCATTAACCTTGAACTTTTAATAAATCACGCATTAGGATTGGTTGCATGTGTGGAAAATGTAAGTGTGACGGTTAACCGTTTATTAAATTTGCTTAGACTGTGCAGTGTGTGCTCTGTAAATATGCAATATATCGATTTGGTGTCATCGCTGAGCTGATGTCACCTGGTGCGGTCCACATCCCCACACCTCCCTAGCTACGCCACTGGGGTTACCATAGGTCCTCAGATGAAAATCAGAGGTCCCTTAAAATTTTCATCAAATCCGGTTACCAGCCCATAGCCAGCCTCTAGGACTACGCCAATGTTAAGTCATAGGACTACACCAATGTTAAGTCGTAAGATTACGCCAATGTTAAGTCATAGGACTACGCCAATGTTAAGTCGTAGGACTACGCCAATGTTAACTGCTGTACAAATAAAAGTAAAGTTAAATTACATAAAATAGTATTCTTTTTGTAAATAGTTGAATTATAAACTTGTGTTCTCCGTGAATGTTCGGTGCGCTTGTCCGTACACTGCCCGAAATTTGCGTGCGTTAACTGAACCAGGAAAAGTTGGGTTTTAATGAGCGACAACTGCACAATTTCTTGACCTATATCTGTGATGATGCTGGACAGCGTGAAACGCCAATAGGCCTTCAGCTGCAGAAACACAATCATCGCTTTTCGAACCCGTGTTGTGATCAATTTGGTCACTTTGGTGGACACGTTTGGTCCACAGAACACTCTTAACAACGTCCGGCGTCCACACCTGCGCCTCTAAAGCCACACAGGCGCACTGTGGAAACGGAGATGTGAGTTCCGCTGCCACAGGTCATGTATTCAGCTTCCTGATCATATCGACCTGCTTGCAAACCTGGCTTTAGGGGGTTCAGACCGTCGATAAAAACACTTACTTTTCAAGATTTTTAAAAGTCATAAAAAAAAAAAATTAAACTTTAAAAATTAATTATCATGAACTGGAGTTACCGTCATGTCTTATGTTTACCAAACATGGCTTCTGGAACCGGATGTTTCGGTGGTTACCTTAGTAACCCTTAACTTAATATTTATGGCACGTGTTTAGGTCACGGAACAGAAAGGTACATAACAAGGAAAAGTAAGTAAGAAGTTTTGGATTGGGAACAGACAGGGGCAGAATCCTTGACAAAAAGCCACCATTCTGGAATGCCATTATGTCAGTCAATAGCAAAAGTCATAATGTCATGTCAGTAAGTAGTAGAAGTCATAAAGTCATGTCAGTCAGTGGCAGAAGTCGTCATGTCAGTTAGTAGCAGTAGCCTTTATGTCATGTCAGTCAGTAGCAGAAGTCATAATGATAGTTTCTTGTCAGTAGCAGAAGTCATTATGTCATTATTTTACTCAGTGATAGAACGTATGATTTCAGTATGTCAGTTTGTTGTAGAAGTCATAATGCCAGCCTGTAGGGCACATCCAGGCTCTTAAATCGACCACACACCTACCCCCTCCCCCCCCAGGTCCCATGTCAACACACTACAACCCAACTACCATGCAGATACACTTCAACCCCCATGTCCAATGCCGACACACTACGCCCTCATGTCCCATATCGACACACTACGCCCTCATGTCCCATATCGACACACTACGCCCCTCACGTCCCATGTCGACACACTACGCCCCTCACGTCCCATGTCGACACACTACGCACCCATGTCCCATATTGACACACTACGTCCCCAAATCCCATGCAGACACTTAAGGCCCCCCATGTCTCATGCCGACATACTACGGCCCCAAGTCCCATATTGACTCACTACGACCCCAAGTCCCATATCGACACACTATGCCTCAACGTCCCAAGCCGACACAGTACACCCCACGTCCCACTTCTTCTCAATGACACTGTCGGTTTCTGCTGATTCACAACAGCTGATATGACGTCATATTTGACTCGAATACATCTGAATGATTCCAGTGCGACACATCTGCAAGTAGCAATTGAATACTATAAGCCTCTACCAAGGTATGTATACTATCCTCTACCAAAGTATATATACCAGCCTCTACCAAGGTATATATACTAGCCTATACCGAGGTATATATACCAGCCCTTACCAAGGTATACATAACAGCCTCTACCAAGTTATGTATACCAGGCTTTAACAAGATCTATATACCATCCTATACCAAATTATATACACCAGCCAGTATGACTTTATATGTCAGTCTGTATCAAAGTATATGAACCAGTCAATACCAAGGTATATGCCAGCCAGTATTGAGGTATATATATATATACCCGTCAATACCAAAGTATATAGCAGCCTTATAATACATTAGACAACGTTGGAGGACGTTAATATTTGGGGACGTCAACATTTGTGGACTTCAACGTCGAAAGACGTCAACATTTGGAGATGTCAACATTTGGTGACGTCAACATTGGGGGACGTCAACATTGGGGGACGTCAACATTGGGGGACGTCAACATTGGGGGACGTTAACATTGGGGATGGGAGTCAACATTGGGGCACGTTAACATTGGAGGACATTAACATTGGAGGACGTTAACATTGGATGACGTCAACATTGGAGGACGTCAACATTGGAGGACGTCAACATTGGAGGACGTTAACATTGGGGAGGGGACGTCAACATTCGAGGACGTCAACATTAGGGGACGTCAACAGTGGAGGACGTCAACATGGGAGGACGAAACATTGGGGGACGTTAACAGTGGGGATGGGAGTCAACATTGGGGCACGTTAACAATGGAGGACATTAACATTGGAGGACGTTAACATTGGATGACGTCAACAGTGGAGGACGTCAACATTGGAGGACGTCAACATTGGAGGACGTTAACATTGGGGAGGGGACGTCAACATTCGAGGACGTCAACATTAGGGGACGTCAACATTGGAGGACGTCAACATTGGAGGACGTTAACATGGGGGACGACAACCTTGGAGGACGTTAACATTGGAGGACGTCAACATTGGAGGACGTTAACATTGGAGGACTTCAACATGGGAGGACGTCAACATTGGAGGACGTTAACATGGGGGACGACAACCTTGGAGGACGTCAACATTGGAGGACGTCAACATGGGAGGACGTTAACATGAGGGACTTAAACATTGGAGGACGTTAAAATGGGGGACGTCAACATCGGAGGACGTCAACATTGGAGGACGTTAACATTGGGGGACGTCAACATTGGAGGACGTTAACATGGGGGACGTCAACATTGGAGGACGTCAACATTGGGGGACGTCAACGTTGGAGGACGTTAACATTGGGGGACGTCAACATTGGAGGACGTCAACATTGGAGGAGTTCAACATTGGAGGACTTCAACATTGGAGGACGTTAACATTGGAGGACGTCAACATTGGAGGACGTTAACATTGGGGGACGTCAACATTGGAGGACGTTAACATGGGGGACGTCAACATTGGAGGACGGCAACATTGGGGGACGTCAACGTTGGAGGACGTTAACATTGGGGGACGTCAACATTGGAGGACGTCAACATTGGAGGAGTTCAACATTGGAGGACTTCAACATTGGAGGACGTTAACATTGGAGGACGTCAACATTGGAGGACGTTAACATTAGAGGACGTCAACATTGGAGGACGTTAACATTGGGGAGGGGACGTCAACATTGGGGGACGTTAACATTGGAGGACGTCAACATTGGAGGACGTTAACATGGGGGACTTCAACATTGGAGGACGTTAACATTGGGGGACGTTAACATTGGCTGAGATCAAAATTGGGTGAACTCAACTTTGTTAGACGTCAACTTTGGATGACGCCAACATTGGATGAGGTCAACATTGGTTGATATGACGTCAAAGAACAAGAAAACATTTAATAAAGCACATTAACACCTGGATATTTATTGCTATAAATATGATCTGACGAAGCGCCCTGGGGCGCCCTGGCATGACGTCATTTACATACAAGTTGTATTATGTTAAGGCAAAGAGCACACTCACAACAGATTTATCAAATCTGTCTCGACTGTCAACCCTTTCCTCTCCCACACCTCTTTTCCCATTCTAACAGCACTCTAAATCACAGCCCACCTATCTTCAGTCCCCCCCCCCCTCTCACATTGCGCCCCTCCCTGTTCCATCCACCCAGTAAACTCATGTTTTATGTCTCTTTTCATCCGCTTTCACCCTACATTTCTTTTGTCTTTCCTACCTCCGCCCCACATTTCTTCCTTCAACTCCTTTTGCCACCTCCCTTCCTCCACTCGCTCCTTTCTCTCCCGCCTCTCATGTTCTCCCTTCTCTCCCGCCTCTCATGTTCTCCTTTCTCTCCCACCTCTCATATTATCCCTTCTCTCCCACCTCTCATGTTCTCCCTTCTCTCCCACCTCTCATGTTCTTCTTTCTCTCCCGCCTCTCATGTTCTCCCTTCTCTCCCATCTCTCATGTTGTCCCTTCTCTCCCACCTCTCATGTTCTCCCTTCTCTCCCGCCTCTCATGTTCTTCTTTCTCTCCCACCTCTCATATTCTCCCTTCTCTCCCACCTCTCATGTTCTCCCTTCTCTCCCGCCTCTCATGTTCTTCTTTCTCTCCCGCCTCTCATGTTCTCCCTTCTCTCCCATCTCTCATGTTGTCCCTTCTCTCCCACCTCTCATGTTCTCCCTTCTCTCCCACCTCTCATGTTCCCCTTTCTCTCCCGCCTCTCATGTTCTCCCTTCTCTCCCGCCTCTCATGTTCTCCCTTCTCTCCCGCCTCTCATGTTCTCCTTTCTCTCCTGTCTCTCGTGTTCTCCTTTCTGTCCCACCTCTCATGTTCTCCCTTCTCTCCCGCCTTGCATGTTCTCCCTTCTCCTCAGCTCTCATGTTCTCCCTTCTCTCCCACCTCTCATGTTCTCCTTTCTCTCCCGCCTCTCATGTTCTCCCTTCTCTCCCGTCTCTCGTGTTCTCCTTTCTGTCCCACCTCTCATGTTCTCCCTTCTCTCCCGCCTTGCATGTTCTCCCTTCTCCTCAGCTCTCATGTTCTCCCTTCTCTCCCACCTCTCATGTTCTCCCTTCTCTCCCACCTCTCATGTTTTCCCTTCTCTCCCACCTCTCATGTTCTTCCTTCTCTCCCACCTCTCATGTTTTCCCTTCTCTCCCACCTCTCATGTTTTCCCTTCTCTCCCACCTCTCATGTTTTCCCTTCTCTCCCACCTCTCATGTTTTCCCTTCTCTCCAGACTCTCATGTTCTCCTTTCTCTCCCGCCTCTCATGTTCTCCCTTCTCTCCCACATCTCATGTTCTACCTTCTTTCCCACCTCTCATGTTCTCCCTTCTCTCCCACCTCTCATGTTTTCCCTTCTCTCTCACCTCTCATGTTCCCCCTTCTCTCCCGCCTCCCATGTTCCCCATTCTCTTTATTTCTTTACCCTCTCAATTACTCCCTCCTCCCAATTTCTCCAACCTTTCGATTTCTCCATCACTCCATTCCCCTCTCCTCATCATTTCTCACCCCTCTCCACCCATCATCACTCCTCCTCCCACACCCCTCTCTTTTAGTCAAAGCAACTGTTCAATCAAACAATGAATGACGTATTCCCCCCTGCCACTTACTTAAAGATCCGTCATTTAGCACAGTGTCATAGGAAGCACAGCCAAATGTCAGTCGTGATCCATCTTGTCGGAGCAAATCTTGTTAGACAACAGATTGACATGAATTACCGCTAAAATGACGTCACGCGGGCATATGGCCGGTCATTTAATCCCTCTACGAATTTAGCGTTATTCGAATGTTCGGGAAAAACTTTGTATTTAAGGATGTGTCATAATGGCCGAATCTGTTGTGTAAAGATAGAACTTGTGTAAATATAGAGGACGTGTAAAGATAGAAGAACTTATGTAAAGATAGAAGAACTTATGTAGAAATAGAACATGTGTAAAGATAGAACAAGTGTAAAGATAGAAGAACTTATGTAAAGATAAAACATGTGTAAAGATAAAACACGTGTAAAGATAGAAGAACTTATTAACAGATAGAAGAACGTATGTAAAGATAGAACATGTGTAAAGATAGAACACGTGTAAAGATAGAAGAACATATGTAAAGATAGAAGAACTTATGTAAAGACAGAACATGTGTAAAGATAGAACACGTGTAAAGATAGAAGAGCTTATGTAAAGATAGAAGAACTTATGTAAAGATAGAACACGTGTAAAGATAGAAGAGCTTATGTAAAGATAGAAGAGCTTATGTAAAGATAGAACACGTGTAAAGATAGAAGAGCTTATGTAAAGATAGAAGAACTTATGTAAAGATAGAACACGTGTAAAGATAGAAGAGCTTATGTAAAGATAGAAGAACTTATGTAAAGATAGAACACGTGTAAAGATAGAAGAGCTTATGTAAAGATAGAAGAACTTACGTAAAGATAGAACATGTGTAAAGATAGAAGAACTTATGTAAAGATAGAGCACTGCCTCCATAAATACTTGTAATATACTTGATGTTTTTTAAATGTGTACTTTATTTTAAATAGTGCCTTGATTTGTCATGTTTTATTTCACTTCGTATAATATACCTGCATTGTCGACGGGAAATATTTCATATTATTTTCAAACGAAAGTCCCCCGACATTGTCTAAGGGGCAGTGAATTTGCTACGTGATGACACCCTGCTCTGCTGCCTGACATTAGCGCCCGATGTCACCTGAAAAATTCCCACCAGCGCCTGTCTACGACCCTGGGTGGGTGCCTGTGAAACGTACTGTCTTGTATAATGCTCCGTTCTGGGGTCTGGCGATTAAAATACAATCCATTCGCCTACTAAAGTGAACCGCTGTTCTAGCAAAAAATGACGTATTACTTTGAAAAATCAAATCCATTTCGGTCCATCTGTTTCCGTTGAAAAGTTACGAGAGCTCAAATTTCCAAGCTCATTAGAAGAGGCGACAACATGCTAAGCTTAGTAGTCAGTAGACAAAAATAAGTTGAGATGGCGATAACAAGGGAACATATCGATATAGAACAGCGGTTCTCAACCTTTCTAATGCCGCGACCCTTTAATACATTTCCTCATGTTGTGGCGACCCCCAACCACAATATTATTTTCGTTAATACTTTACAACTGTGGAGTATGTGTGTTTTCAGATGGTCTTAGGCGACCCCTTTGAAAGGGTCGTGCGACCCCCAAAGGGGTCGCGACCCACAGGTTGAGAACCGCTGATATAGAATGTCCTGAAATTAATAAAGAAAGTTAATTGTGATGATGTTATAGTTGACGATAGATCTCAAGCAGGTCGTAACAAGCAACACAGTTACATTGGCGGATGATACAACATGTGTCAAAATGGTGACGATGTTGATGTCCGGTTATCTTAATGACCTCAGGCTCAAAACTCGTCGGGTACCCGGATACATTGGTCATCGGGTACCCGGACAAGTGTTTTCCAAATGGCATAATTCCCTGCCACACATTGAATTGTGGACAGAATGACCCAATCTTTTACAGCAAACTAGATGCTACTGACCTAAAACATCTGGCCGCCACACAACTGCTTGTTGACAGAATGAACACACCAAGGGAACGCCTCGAAGTCTTGACCCCAAAGTTGACCAACACACTACAACTAAAGAACCAGCAAACCCCAAACAGTTGATGAAAAGGGGAGAGAAGTTGGAAAACACGACTTCAAGCAGCCGCTTTTAGATGACCCACGAGCCATTGTCACATGACCCACGAGCAGTTGTCACATGACCCACGAGCCATTGTCGCATGACCCACGAGCCATCGTCACATGACCCACGAGCCGTTGTCCCATGACCCACGAGCCGTTGTCACATGACCCACGAGCCATTGTCATATGACCCGCGAGCCCTAAATTCTCTTTACTTTGACTCATTATCTTTAGGATTCCTCAACGAGGATGACATAATCCCTGTGGAATCTTGTATAGGACCTGTCAGATATGCAAAACTCAAATACAGTTTAAAAGAAGGTTGGTGTTGTCTCCATTCGGTTACGTAGTACTGTTGTAAAGTATTCGAATACAGCTATTTATCTTATGCAAGGGATAAGCCGGCTTATATGAAGCTACTAATAGCAACTAATCGACTACTCAGTAAATCCGAATATACTTTTTCAATTCATTAAACGATTATAACAATTAAGCACTGGTTAAAAACTAACATTTTCTTATTGAAGTTTCCATGTTATGATATTTTATATAGAATTAGCTTTTTCAACGAGATTACGGAATCACAGGACGAGGCTAACTTGCATCCGATTTTCCAGGATTTGTAATACACCGCGAGATGAAGACCCTAATCATCTGACGATAAAGTCAAGACATGGAGGCGAATTGTGACTATTACGTCACGGATAGTAATAATATATCGGACACTTATTTATTTGATATCTGGAGTCCTGGCTATTTGCACACAGGTTAAGGTCATGGGAAATCCACATTGGTCCACGACGAGCCACATGGGACAATATCAGGAATCTTCGAGAAGGATAAGAACCAAGAATGGTTATTTGGTAGGATTCTGTAGGACAGTCATAGACTGTTGGATTGTGTAGACAGTTATATAGTTTTTGGAATGTGTAGGACAGTCATAGAGTGGTGGAATTTGTAGGAAAATCATAGACTGTTGGAATGTGTAGGACAGTGTTTCGCACTGCCTTTCATTTTGAGAAGTTAATCTCCTATTTTAAATGTATGGCTCGTTCAAACAGTGCCTAACAAAGGACGATATCATAGAGAAATACAATAACAAAAGTACGACACCCAAAACAGTACAAATTACAATTTATACAATTTATACAATTTTACAAAGTTCAAGCACGGGGAAAAATTGTACTACATATCAATATTCATTGACTTTTGGAAAAGTTTAGGTCAGTCATAGCGTAGGACAGTCATAGAGCGTTGGAATGTCTAGGACAGTCATAGACTGTTGGAATGTGTAGGACAGTTAATAGACTGTTGAAATGTGTTGGGCAGTCATAGACTTTTTGAATGTGTATGACAGTCATAGACTGTTGGAATGTGTAGGACAGTCATAGACTGTTGAAATGTGTTGGGCAGTCATAGACTGTTGAAATGTGTTGGGCAGTCATAGACTGTTGAAATGTGTTGGGCAGTCATAGACTGTTGGAATGTGTAGGACAGTCATAGACTGTTCGAAAGTGTATATATCATTTGATGATAAGTTGTATTTGGCACGCGCTTACCAGGGAAGGAGGAGAAAATAGATTGACGGATATCAGCATGGCCATATGGATGGACAGATTGATGGAAATATTGATGGACATATGGATGGACAGATGAATAGACATATTAATGGACAGATGAATGGACATATTGATTGTCAGATGAATGGACAGACGAGAGATACAAAATGGGAAAAATGTGAGACAAAGAAATATAAGGATGGACATATGAGAGACATTCGGATGGACATATGGATGGACATTACGAGAGACAGGTGGCAGATAAAGGGACAGAAGGATTGAAATATGGGTGGACAGATAAGAGATAGAAGGATGGACATATAGCAATTCTTCTTACCATATGCCAACGGAAATCTAAATAGCTATGCAACCGAATCGGTCCCTCCTCACTTACCCTCACTCCCCGACCCTCTTCCTCTCTCCAAAGTACAGACCAAAACAAGACCTCCATAGACCACGTGACTTCTGATACATGCGAAATCAATACATGACGACTGACGAAGGACTTTTCGCCGCCCCTGTCTGAGGTCAGAGGTCAGGATCAAATAGGATGGGGCGAAATCACTGGAAATTTCCACGTGGGTTTCTAGAACTATTGGAATAAGATGAGATTTCTAGAACTATTGGCATAAAATAAGGTGTCTAGAACTATTGGCATAAGATGAGATTTCTAGAGCTATTGGCATGAGATGAGATTTCTAGAACTATTGGCATGAGATGAGATTTCTAGTACTATTGGCATAAGATAAGATTTCTAGAACTATTGACATGATATGAGATTTCTAGAACTATTGTCATAAGATGAGATTTCTAGAACTATTGACATAAGATGAGATTTCTAGAGCTATTGGCATAAGATAAGATTTCTAGAAGTATTGGCATGAGATGAGATTTCTAGAAGTATTGGCATGAGATTTCTAGAACTATAGTCATAAATAAGACCCATATCCCCGTAGTTGTTATCAGACCAACTTGCCATTTCTAAAACCATCATACGAAACTCGTATCCTCCATCTTGTCCCATAACCGATATTCCAGGTTTGCGTGACCTAGTTTCCTTATTATTGTGAAACTGAAGACGCTACCTAGAGTGCCAGGGCACCAAGGGAGACAATGACATGACATCGAAATATATGCTGATGTCAACTTTCGAAAGATATTTATTTGGCTTAGAGGAACCAACCGGGAACATATCCAGGAGGGAACAGTCAAGATGCACCAGATTTTAACGGCCAGGTGTAAATTGACGTGAACAGCCAGGTGTAACTAGGTGGGAATACCCAGGTATAATTAGATGCGAACATCGAGGTGTAAATAGATGTGAACAACCCAGGAGTAAATGGCTGGAAACATCCATGTGTAAATAGGTCGGACAACCAGGTGTAATTAAGTATGAACAACCAGAGAATAACCAGGTGTAAATAGATGGGAACAGCCAGGTGTAAATAGGTGTGAACAACAAAGTGTAAATAGATGAAAACAGCCATGTGTAAATAGGTGGGAACAAGGAGGTGTAAATAGATGGGAACACCTAGGTGTAAATATAATAGATCTTATCGGATCCCCAAATGACAAATGTGTTGGGACGGTTGACAGCAAGAATGAAATTTTCCCATTTTGTCATCAGGATTCGCCCCCACCCCCTCCGCCCCCACCTCCTCTTCGCCAACCGCACAGCGTATTACCTGGCAAAGTCAACTCTGCTAGATATATAAATTCTCTTAATAAGTCAATGTCCAATGCATAACGTTGACCTTAGAGCCAAAAAAATGCATGAGATTTGTTCCTGTTTGTAGCTCACCTGGAGCTTAAATTAGCTCACCTGGATCTTAAATGAGCTCACCTAGAGCTTAAATGAGCCCGCTCTAAGGAATCTCAGGTGAGTTTTCGTTTTCTGATCTCTCTGCACAGACCGGTCTAGTTATCTCCCACGAAGACACACATATCTCAATCATTGCAACAATTGTTGGCAATGCGTGGAAGGAAGAGAGCGTAAGTCAGGTAGACAATCTCTACTGTTGTCAGAGAAGAAACTCCACTGTAATCAGACAACATAATGTCTCCAATCATCGAGGGTGTGTGTGTCTGCGTGTAAAAGAGAGAGAACGTGTGTGTGTGTGAGTGAGAGAGAGAGAGAGAGAGAGAGAAGAGAGAGAACGTGTGTGTGTGAGTGAGTGAGAGAGAGAGAGAGAATAGGGAGAGTTAATGTATTTGTGAGATCGTCTTGTATCAATGCCATGAGACCAATGAACTCTGGAACTCTATCTGTAAGACGCTGTGCCCGACTTACTGTGTGACATCATCATAGTGTAACACAGAGAGACAACGGCTTATTCATTGTCGAATTAAAACCTGTGCACCACTGGCACAGCGGCAATCAAAATACGGCCCGCGGCTTTGGGTTATCCGGCCCGCCAACTGCTTGTTAAGTTAAACTCTAATAGCGATATTTATGTATTAAATTCAGCGTGAACCTGGATCAGCTTATGTGTGACAACTTTAAGAGACCGTATTTTAAACAATAAAATTGTGTCAGCTTCTTGCTTTAGTTGAACATGAAGACTAAATAAAATGTAATGAATGTTCATCCAAAACTAAATTAGATTTAATATAGAGGCTTCCGGTTTATTAATTATACGCAGCAAATGGGGGCAGGGTAGGATTAAGGTTGTTGGTATTGATACTGCAGCATTAAGCCTATTCTTGGAATAATTCAATTCCTAAAATAAGTCCATTCCTGAAATAGGCCCATTGCCGAAATAGGCCCATTCCTGAAATAGGTCGATCCCTGAAATAGGTCTTGATGTGACAGCTGAGAATGTACCGAAGCTGAACAGTTTTACTTTGCTATATTAACCCAAAATAATTCTTGGAATGAAATTTTGATTCTGATTTTCTGACGCCTTGACAAAGCGTTCCATGTTTCACATACAGTTGCTGGTGTTCTTTGCGCCGTGGCGTAACTATAGCATCCAGTGCCAGGTGTAGGTATGGTATGAGTGGCAGCCTGGAGGACAGACTCCAGCCGGAGGGATTCACGTGCAGGATGGACGAACGTGAGGCAGCAGGCATGTCGTGAGGCAGCAGACATGTCGTGAGGCAGCAGACATGTCGTGAGGCTGCAGACATGTCGTGAGACGGCAGACATATCGTGAGGCAGCAGACATCTCGTGAGGCAGCAGACATGTCGTGAGGCAGCAGACATGTCGTGAGGTGGCAGACATGTCGACTGTCTGAAACGATATTATTTCTAGCCCCGGAACCGAAAAATAAACACAAATTTAACTCTTCTGTTTCGGCCAAAACCGTAACTACGCCGAAAGTGATCAAACGTTCGGCGCCCAAACCGAAACCGTAGCCGAAATTTGGCTGGTCTCTAGTAGAATTTATACGATAGCTACGATATATATATAATGAATGCGATAGCTAAGATGGCTTAAAGGCACGACCACAGATAATTTTGGTATGTACGACTACAGATCACTCTGGTGGGCACGACCACAGATCACTTTGGTATGTACGACCACACATCACTCTGGTAGGCACGACCACAGATCACTTTGGTATGTACGACCACACATCACTCTGGTAGGCACGACCACAGATCACTTTGGTGTATTTAAAAAAAAAATTATTATGGCCTAACTATATTGTTTCTTTACACAACTTTGTTTAGGTCTCATTAATCTGATTGAGACTCCTTGTCCAACTTAATTCATATTAGTTGTACTCAAACGGAGTCAGAGTTCTGTGCGCGAATGCCTCGATAGAAAATCAAGTGAATGGAAATTTACAGTATTGGAAACATTAAGCAAAATCTTTTTTTTTCCCCTTTTTTTTTGGGGGGGGGGAAGAGGGGTAGGGGTTTCCCATGGGTGGGATGTCGGGCAGAAAAAAAAATAAAAACCAAGTTGCCAAAATGAAACATCAATTCAATGGGTAGCATTGCTACTCTTGAAAATAAGATCTGTTCTATTCATAAAATATCAATCAAACCATTGTTAGAGGAGCGAATGTCTATCAAACACTGCCAATGAACAAATACCAATCAGACCACTAGTCCAGGAGCACAACTCAATCAGACACTATCAATGAACCAATATCAATCAGACCACTGGTCAAGAAGCGTAACTCGATCAGACACTGCCAACGAACAACACAGGGACATGAACTCTGTCTACTCACCCCCGCCATGCATCTGTGTCAGGTACGGGAATCTCCAGACGTTGCCGAGCCCCACAGCGTAAGAGATGACCATGAACAAGTACTGGACCTTGGAGTCCCAGGCCACTCTTGTCTTACTTTCTATCTCGTCTTTTAGACCGGTCAGCCGGATCATCTCCGGGGCCAGAATACCCCCAATGTCACCGCCACCCCTTTCTGCGGCCTCGGCATTGAGGGGTGCCTTGGTGGAAGCCCCCTCTGTGCTCGAGTTGTTCATCTTAAAGTACCAGCTGTGACCACGGTTACCAACAAGCGACGGGCTGCTAGACCATACTTTTACTAAAGAGCAGTCACTCTCGCTGATCACATCATTTCAACAGAAGTTGTTGGTGACCAACATCCAGGTGAACCTGCAAATGACATTTTAGATGTCCTATTTAATTAACAATGGGTGGAGCCTGCAAAGAATAACATTGCTAAGACACATGTGGACCAATGTGATAAGAGAGTTTTTTGATGAATGTCAACACCAAAGGTTAATTAAGGTCACTCATTCTCTAAATATGTCTTTTAACTATCGTGCAGTAGGGTGATACTGAACCCAGCGGTCCTCAAGCTTGCGAATTATTACCCTTGAAACTAAGACATAGTTGGTTAAAATTATTCAAGCAAATGTCTTTCAGCTAATGAATTTTAAGCATTTTAGTTTACTATCTATGTGTTTTTTGCTCTGTATGTGTTGTTTGCTATATATGTGTTGTTTTCTCTGTCTGTGCTGTTTTCTCTGTATGTATTGTTTGCTCTGTATGTGTTGTTTGCTGTGTATGTGTTGTTTGCTATATATGTGTTGTTTTCTCTGTATGCATTGCTTTTATGTATGTGTTGTTTGCTCTGTATGTATTGTTTGCTCTGTATGTGTTGTTTGCTCTGTATGTGTTGTTTGCTCTGTATGTGTTGTTTGCTGTGTATGTGTTGTTTGCTCTGTATGTGTTGTTTGCTCTGTATGTGTTGTTTGCTCTGTATGTGTTGTTTTCTCTGTTTGTGTTGTTTGCTCTGTATGTGTTGTTTACTCTGTATGTGTTGTTTGCTCTGTATGTGTTGTTTTCTCTGTATGTGTTGTTTGCTCTGTATGTGTTGTTTTCTCTGTATGTGTTGTTTTCTCTGTATTATGTGTTGTTTGCTCTGTATGTGTTGTTTACTCTGTATGTGTTGTTTGCTCTGTATGTGTTGTTTTCTCTGTATGTGTTGTTTGCTCTGTATGTGTTGTTTGCTGTGTATGTGTTGTTTGCTCTGTATGTGTTGTTTGCTCTGTATGTGTTGTTTGCTCTCTATGTGTTGTTTGCATGTTAGTCATCAGATTATAGATAGCAGCTCAAGCATGGACTTATTTCGCAATGTGGGTCAGCTGACCGGTAAAAACAAGGCTACATCTCTGCCAAATAACATTGCTGTAGAAGAGCTGCCAGACGCTCTAAATGACTACTTTATCACAAAAGCTAAGAAGATCAGGGCGACACTTGACAGTTGCATCGATACTGCTCCAGAATTTTCACTCTTCAACGGCTCTTCTATGGGCGAATTTGTTGAGGTCAGTGAATCGAATGTGAGGAAAATCCTGGCTAATACCCCAAGAAAGTCATGCTCACTCGACCCTCTTCCAGCAGGGCTGTTGTATGAATGTCTGGATGAAATAGTCCCCATCATCACTTGTATCATAAATCAGTCCTTGACAACTGGTATTGTTCCATCATCTTTTAAAGAGACAATAGTAACGCCACTGTTAAAGAAAGGAAATCTTGAACCAAATTTGATGGAAAATTATCGCTCCATCTCAAATCTACCATTTATATCCAAAATCTTAGAAAATGTCGTTCTCCGCCTACTCCTGGATCACCTCATTCAATGTGACCTGTTTGAGCCTTTCCAGTCAGCATACAGGACGCATCACTCTACTGAGACAGCCCTGTTGCGCGTCGTAAACGGCCTTCTGTCGTCTTGTGATGAGGGCCAGGTATCCATTTTCTCTTCACTCGATTTATCGTCAGCTTTCGATACGCTTGACCACGGCATACTACTCAAGTGTCTGCAAAAAACGATCGGTCTCACCGATACCGTCCTGAGACGGTTTAACCCGTATTTGAAAAATCGGGTCCAGTCAGTTATTTCAAACGGCTTGACCTCGAAGCAATCTATAATTGAATTCGGAGTACCTCAGGGCTCGGTCCTAGGCCCGGTGCATATCACTATGTACGTCAGCCACTGGGTGCAGTGATCAAGCAATTTGACATGCTGTATCTCATGTTCGCGGACGATACACAACTTCATCAATCCGTGATCCCCTCTCAGTTCCCTCAACTTCTTAGTACGATACAGAAGACAGTGGAGTCAGTTAAGCACAGGATGACCATAAACAAGCTCAAATTGAATGATGAAAAGACTGAGCTGATCCCCATTGCCACTGCTCAGAAACAAAAATCTGTAATAAAACACAACATCACCTACTCTCTCAGGTATGCAGATAGAGTTTGCTCATACAGTGCGAGACCTGGGTGTCTATTTAGACAGAACACTTACTATGGAAAATCAAATTAACATGCTTTGCAAGGCGATTTTCCTAGAGCTGCGCAGGGTTAGTCATATCAGACCTTTCTTAACGTTAGATGCATCAAAGAGGCTGATGTCTACATTTGTCTTATCACGCATGGACTACTGCAATGCTCTCATGGTGGGTCTCCCAGCTACGCTCCTGGATAAAATTCAACGTGCACAGAATAATGCGGCTCGCATTGTTCTTCGCAAACGCAAATTCGACCATCCTAAAACACTTCTGAGAGCGCTGTACTGGCTGCCGGTCCGCGCTCGCATAGAGTACAAAATCGCAACTTTGTGCTACCGCTGCTTACACGACCTGGCGCCATCTTATGTCAAAGCACTCATGACGCCTTATGTACCCACTAGACAGCTCCGCTCATCCGATAGTGGCAAAATATCGATACGTGTGTTCGCCTTGAGACTAACGGAAAGCGCACCTTTGCATTTGCTGGCCCAACCATTTGGAACGCCCTTCCAGTCGCTCTCAGAAACAGCCAGACACTGGATTCCTTTAAAGACGATTTAAAAAACACACCTATTTTGCAAACACCTTCTGGGTGATGCTATCTACAATCTTTTTTCAGTTAATGTATATTGGCCTGTGTTGCTTATGGTTGAAATGGGATGAAAGACTTTGACTTGGTATGCTCGTATGCAGTTTTATATTATTGCGTCTGTTTTTTAATTGTGGTAAATTTTAGATTGTTTTTTTTTTTATTTCTCTTTTTAAAATGGTTGAATTAGAACCGCGCTTCGAGCTTTTGGGGATGAAGGGTGTTTTTAAAATAAACGTTATTATTATTATGTGTTGTTAGCTCTGTATGTGTTGTTAGCTCTGTATGTGTTGTTGATATAAAGTGTTGTTAGCTCTGTATGTGTTGTTGATATAAAGTGTTGTTAGCTCTGTATGTGTTGTTGATATAAAGTGTTGTTAGCTCTGTATGTGTTGTTTTCTATGTATGTGTTGTTTGCTATGTATGTGTTGTTTGCTTGTAATGTGTTGTTAGCTCTGTATGTGTTGTTTTCTATGTATGTTTTGTTTGCTCTGTATGTGTTGTTTTCTATGTATGTGTTGTTTGCTCTGTATTTGTTGTTGCTCTGTATGTGTTGTTTGATATAAAGTGTTGTTAGCTCTGTATGTGCTGTTTGCAATGTATGTGTTGTTTGCTCTGTATTTGTTGTTTGCTCTCTATGTGTTGTTTGCTCGTAATGTGTTGTTTTCTCTGTATGTGTTGTTTGCTATGTATGTGTTGTTAGCTCTGTATGTGTTGTTTTATATGTTTGTTTTGTTTGCTCTGTATGTATTGTTTTCTCTGTATGTGTTGTTTTCTCTTTATGTGTTGTTAGCTATGTATGTGTTGTTTGCTCTGTATGCATTGCTTTTATGTATGTGTTGTTAGCTCTGTATGTGTTGTTTTATATAGAGTGTTGTTAGCTCTGTATGTGTTGTTTTCTATGTTTTTGTTGTTTGCTATGTATGTGTTGTTTGCTCTGTATTTGTTTTTTGCTCTGTATGTGTTGTTTGATATAAAGTGTTGTTAGCTCTGAATGTGTTGTTTTCTAGGTGTGTGGTGTTTGCTATGTATGTGTTGTTTGCTATGTATGTGTTGTTTGCTATGTATGTGTTGTTTACTCTGTATGGTTTGTTTGCTCTGTAGGTGTTGTTTACTCTGTATGGTGTGTTTGCTATGTATGTGTTGTTTTCTATGTATGTGTTGTTTGCTATGTATGTGTTGTTTGCTCTGTATTTGTTGTTTGCTCTGTATGCATTGTTTGCTTTGTATGTGTTGTTTGCTGCGTATTTGTTGTTTGCTCTTAACGTGCTGTTTGCTATGTATGTGTCGTTTGCTCTGTATGTTTTGTTTGCTCTGTATGTGTTGTTTGCTCTGTATGTGTTGTTATCTAGGTATGTGCTGTTAGATATGCATGTGTTGTTAGCTATGTATGTGTTTTAGCTATGTATGGGTTTTAGCTATGTATGTGCTGTTTGCTCTGTATGTGCTGTTAGCACTGTAAGTACGTAAGTGCTGTTAGCTATGTAAGTGTACTTAGCTATGTATGTGCTGTTAGCTATGTATGTGTTGTTAGCTATGTATGTTTTGTTAGCTATGTATGTGTTGTAAGCTATGTATTTGCTGTTAGCTATGTATGTGTTGTTAGCTATGTATGTGTTGTTAGCTATGTATGAGTTGTTTGCTATGTATGTGGTGTTAGCTATGTATGTCTTGTTAGCTATGTATGTGTTGTTAGCTATCTATGTGTTGTTAGCTATGTATGTGTTGTTAGCTATGTATGAGTTGTTAGCTATGTATGTGCTGTTTGCTCTGTATGTGCAGTTAGCTATGTATGTGTTGTTAGCTATGTATTTGTTGTTAGCTATGTTTGTGTTGTTAGATATGTGTGTGTTGTTCGCTATGTATGTGTTGTTAGCTCTGTATGTTTTGTTAGCTATGTATGTGTTGTTAGCTATGTATGAGTTGTTTGCTATGTATATGGTGTTAGCTATGTATGTATTTTTAGCTATGTATGTGTTGTTAGCTATGTATGTGTTGTTAGCTATAAATGTGCTGTTAGCTATGTATGTGATGTTAGCTATGTATGTGTTGTTAGCTATGTATGTGTTGTTAGCTATAAATGTGCTGTTAGCTATGTATGTGATGTTAGCTATGTATGTGTTGTTAGCTATGTATGTGTTGTTAGCTATAAATGTGCTATTAGCTATGTATGTGAGGTTTTCTATGTATGTGCTGTTAGCTATGTATGTGTTGTT